TACGCACGCACACGCACGCGTGTGTGCGCGTGCGTGTGCGTGCTGTGGCTGTGTGCTGTGCGTGCTGTGTGTGCTGTGCGTGCTGTGCTGTGCGCGAGACGCACACACACAGCACACACGTGCCACAGACGCACGCGCGCGTACCCATTACCATACCACCCTTACGCAGGATTCTTGAACGGCAGCCAAGCCCACCCGAGGGCACAGACGAGCCAAGCTCGATAAACGCACCGCGAGTCCCGTTCGCTGCGAGCCGGGAGTGCTTCGCATAGCCACGCAAGCTCCAATCTGCTCATCTCCCACCTCCGCAGTACTGCAGAAGCCAGGGGCAAGCGTTCCACATTCCTCTGGCAGGGGGCGAGTCAATCCACAGGACACCAAACGGCATCCACAGTATCACCCGCGAGCATTTTGTCGTCATCATTATCGTGATGCCGCACGCCAACGCGTTGTGCGATTCCGTGCGACTGAACTTCGGCGCCGGCGTGTTCCTGGCCAGCCAACCGGCACACCACATCCATGCCAACGCTCGCTCGGAGCTGCTGCTGTTGCTCCTTGGTCACGTGACGATGCTGCTGCTGCTATGATGATGATGATGCTCTGATGATGATGATGATGCTAATGACGGTGATGCTATGACAGACACCGCGCGCTTCGTTTGATGAGGTCACCACGCAACCGCTGATTGAGTCATTCTCGTCTGCCGAACGCATATACGCCGAATGATACATTCATTAACGAGTCACTGTTTCTATGGGATGGGTTGGGCCCCCCCGCCAGAGGAATGTGGAATTTCCACGGAGACATCAATGACTGATCAGGAACATGGATTAGAGTACAGGGCAGCGTAGGAAGGTTATGGATTCGTCAATACCACCATCAGCAGCAGTACTGCCATCATCATAATCATCACCACTAACACCACTAACACCACCATCACGAACACCATCACAATCATCATTAGTATTACCCCTCCGGGCCATCACCATCACCACCAACACCATCAATCAATCCAGAGAGAATGTCGCAGCTGCTCAATTCACTGCCTGAAGAAGCTCCCGGCACGTGCAGTGAAACGTCGGACATCGCGACACAATCAGCAATCGCGTGGCAGAGGCACACGGCACCACCACCGCCAACACTACAGCGAAATCCGGAATCGTGGTGCCGAGCAGGCATCGAGTGGAGACACCACCACGCGCCACTGACTACGCTCATCACAAACGCCACCCCACAAAACACAACAAAGAGGAAGACCCCAACCCCCCTCCACCCCGTGTAGCCTTCACAGACTGCTGGGGCAAGTGCTGTGAGCGAGTAGCAGCACCTACGAAGGCCGGCACGGCACACGAGGGGGTGGGTGGCCAGCACCACGGCCGCACCAGGTTCTCATCAGAGGTTGAGTCGACCCCAGGGGAGGGCACGGGACCGGTTCAGAGAATCGTCACTCACCTACCCAGCCGACTCACCTACCCAGCCACTCACCGACTCACTTGCGCGCTCACCTACCCAGTCACTCACCTACCCAGCCACTCACCTACCCAGCCACTCACCTACCCAGCCACTCACCGACTCACTTGCGCGCTCACCTACCCAGCCACTCACCGACTCACTTGCGCGCTCACCGATCCAGTCAATAACCCACTCACTCACCGATAAACTCACTCATCCACCCACCCACTCGATCAACTAATGACTCACTCACTAACCTACTCACTCTCCACACTGCAGATCATCTCACTTCAATTGTCTCTGTCTCTCTGCTTCTTCACTCGCATCGCTCCACTCTGGGATTCCCTTTTCCACCCCCAGCCCCAAGGATCTCACTCCAACAACAACCTCGCTCACACTTCACAACGGTGCGGTTTGTTGCTGGCCGTTTGACGCCGCGGGCCTCTTGCCGAGCACTATACGACCCAGCAATGAACGCAATTTCGTGCCCACAGTTGCCCACGTGGCCCGCACACGCGCTTGTTGGGGCCACCCCAGTAGACATGGAACGTTGGAGGCCGACGTCGAGCCAACGTTGAGGCGGCACGGGAAGGCCGAAACAGATGGGCGAAGGGGCTCACAAAAGGTCGTGTGGTGGAGGGAGCGGCGGCACACTGGGGCAGAGAGACGCAGGGCAGACGCCACGGGGCCAGCAGCCAGGGAGGGGGGGGGGCAGGGAGGGGGGCCAGGGAGGGTGGCAGGAAAGGGGGGGCCAGGGAGAGGGATAGGGAGGGCGGGGCCAGGGAGGAGGGGGGGCAGGGAGGGGGGGGCAGGAGGGGGCGGCCAGGGAGGGGGGGCAGAGAGGAGGGGCAGGGGGGGGGGGGCTGGGGGGGGCAGGGAGGGGGGGCCAGGGAGGAAGGGCCAGGGAGGGGGGGGGGGCAGAGAGGGGGGGTCAGGGGGGGCAGGAAGGGGGGGCAGGGAGGGAGCAGCTCCAACAGCGACAGTTAAAGCCGCCCAGGGCGAGTCTGCAACTCATACAAAGACAAAGGTCCCCGTGTAGCCGCGACAGGCTGTTGGAGCAAGTGCTCATCTATGACGACGCCCGATGAGGAGGCGTGAGAAGTACCCACGCCCGGCCGCCTTTGTCTCCCCAGGGCTTCACGGCTTTTCTACACCCGCCGGAGAATCATCGCCACCGACGTCGCCTCGTGAGCGGGGAATCGAACTCGGGGTCGCCGCTGCGAGCGTCGCGCGGTGCGCTAACCACTGCGCCACCGCTCCCCACTCACACTCAGTGCGCTAACCACTGCGCCACCGCTCCCCACTCACACTCAGTGCGCTAACCACTGCGCCGCCGCTCCCCACAAAGAGACAGGGGGGAGGAGGGGAAGATCGGTAGACAGAGAGGGAGGGAGAAAGGAGGACGGAGAGACAGGGACATGGGACACGGGGGAGACAGAGAGACGGGTAGAGAGACAGGGAGACGGGGAGACAGGGTGACAGAGACACAGAGAGACAGAGAGATAGGACGACAGGGTGACAGAGAGACAGAGAGACAGGGTGACAGAGAGACAGGGTGACAGGGTGACAGACAGAGACAGAGAGCCAGAGAGACGGAGAGACAGACACAGAGAGATAGGGTGACAGGGTGACAGACAGAGACAGAGAGCCAGAGAGACGGAGAGACAGACACAGAGAGATAGGGTGACAGACTGAGACAGAGAGACGGAGAGAGAGACAGAGAGATAGGACGACAGGGTGACAGAGAGACAGAGACAGACAGAGACAGAGAGACAGACAGAGAGACAGGGTGACAGAATCGGCCTACACAGGGTCAGGGACAGGCAGACCAAGTGGACAGGCAGACACAGGAAAAGGAGAGACAAAGAGACAGAGACAGACGGTCGGAACGACGAAGACACGCAGAGCCAGGGAGACAAAGAGGGACGGGGAGAGACAGAGAGAGGGACAGAGAGACAGGGATGGAGAGACAGGGATGGAGAGACTGACGAGAGCCACAAAGAGGAGGGAGGAGGCGGTTGGAGAGCTCGGAGCGAGGCGGGGAGGACAATGGGAGGGAGAGATGGAGATTGGGGGAGACGGGGCGAGAGAGCTGGGAGACGGGGGACATTGCAGAGACACGGAGTGACGGGAAGACACGGGGAGACACGGGGAGACAGTGGGCGAGAGAGACACGGGGCGAGAGAGACACGGGGCGAGCGAGACAGGGGGTCAGAGAGACGGAGGGAGTTAGAGAGACAGAGGGTGACGGGAAGACACTGGGAGCCACGGGGAGACACTGGGCGAGAGAGACACGGGACGAGAGACAGAGGGTGACGGGGAGACACGGGGAGACAGTGGGAGATGCGGGGAGACGCGGGGAGACACTGGGCGAGAGAGACGCGGGGCGAGAGACAGAGGGTGACGGGGAGACACTGGGAGACACGGGGAGACACTGGGAGACGGGGCGAGAGAGACAGGGGGCGAGAGAGACAGGGAGACGGAGGGAGTTAGAGAGGCAGAGGGTGACGGGAAGACACTGGGAGACGCGGGGAGACACGGGGGAGACAGGACAAAGGGAGACAGAAACAGAGGGGATAGAAAGGCAGAGGGGAGAGAGACACCGGGAGAGGAGGAGACAGGGAGAGTCGGGGAGATCGGGAAGCACGGGGAGACGGAGAGACGAAGACGCGGGGGGAGACGGGGGAGACAGAGGGAGAGGTACAGAGATGAGGAGAGATGCAGGGAGACAGACGGAGAGACAGAGGCAGAGAGGGCTCGCAGAGCGCAACATCACAGAATGGGCGACCCCTGATCGCCGCCACCACCATCGCTATTGTCACCACCATCATCACCACCATCGCTACTATCATCTCCACCACCACCATCGCTACTGTCATCACCACCACCATCACTATTGCCACCACCATCACTATTGCCACCACCATCACTATTTCCACCACCATCACTATTTCCACCACCACCATCACCACCATCGCTACTATCATCACCACCACCATCACTATTTCCACCACCACCATCACCACCATCGCTACTGTCATCTCCACCACCATCACTATTGCCACCACCATCGCTACTGTCATCACCACCACCATCACTATTGCCACCACCACCATCACTATTTCCACCACCATCACTATTGCCACCACCACCATCACTATTGCCACCACCACCATCACTATTTCCACCACCACCATCACCACCATCGCTACTGTCATCTCCACCACCATCACTATTGTCACGACCATCACTATTGTCATCTCGATCATCACCGGAGCATCGCCTGCTCAAGTGATGATGGTGATGATGTTAGCGATGGTGCAGGCGATGGCGATGACAATGGTGACGATGATAACGATGCTGGCGGTGGTGGTGATGGTGCAGATGCTGGAGACAATAGTGGTGGCGATGCTGCTGGTGGTGGCGATGGTGGTGATTACAGCAGTGGTGTTGGTGGTGACAACGGTGATCGCCCCCCCACCCGGCCCCCCCTTTACCCCCCCCGGGCCCCCCCCGGGCCCCCCACGGGCCCCCCACGGGCCCCCCACCTTCGTTCGCAGCTCGTCGGATGAAGGCGCAGCAGCTCCGCTCCCACTCCTCCTCCGCTCGGCTCCTCCACGCGGCGACGTCACCGCGAGAACTCTCGACGCGGTGACGTCACCATCGCTCCGTGCCGCATCTCGCTACGCCGTGACGTCAACGCGCAAAGCGCCAGCGGCGACGTCACAGCTCAGAGAGACACGCGGCGCGCCCAAACCCCCGACGGCGCGGTGATTTACAACACCCCGCCCCCCCACTTGCCGGGGCCACGCGGTGACGTCACAGCGAAACGTATCGCTTAGTGACGTCGTCGCGTAATGAGATTACGTCAGAACGCAGAGCGCCGCTCCTCCCCACGGCGCGTTATGACGTCATCAGTACTCATAACGAAATTTCAAATCGGCGACTTCGAGGAAGGCACCGCGCTAATGACGTCACATCGATGTGAATAAATGACGTCACGACGAGGTCCAATATTCATGATGTCATGAAGAGTTTAAAACCGGGTGATGCCATCGAAGTTCACATTCCGATAACGTCATAAAATTGCCGCCACGCGGTCAGACCCCATCACAGGAACGTGGAATTTCCACCGATGACTCGAGCCATTCGGGTGCCTGCATTTGGCGGAGTCAGTGGCCAAGGCTGTTGATGTCTCCGATATATTGGTGCAACAGATCACCATCATCTTCATCATCACCACCAGCTGCAGCAACATCAAACACCATTAGCACCACTACCATCATCAACACAACCATCATCTTCATCAGCACCACCATCATCATCATCATTCACCAGCAACATCACCCACCTATTAGCACCAGTGCCGCATTACCCTAGTAGCAAAAGTAGCTACATGTGTAGTAGTAGCTACTACATATGTAGTAGCTACGGGCCCCGCACTTTCAAGGGCCCCACGCTAAATGCTTTCAAGATATCAATTACGGTTTAGTGATTCTGCACTAGCTCTATTACTATAGTACTATACCGCCTTCAACTTTTACGAACGACCGGCTGTTTAAGGTTAGCGATTTGTCGGATTATCCGGCTGTATAGCAAATGAAAAAACACAATTACTTTACTATGCAAGTTAAACATTTGTGTTTTAATATTTACGTTTTTTTTTATTTAGGGCCCCTTCATAACTTATGCTACAGGCCCCGCACTAGCTTAATCCGGCACTGATTAGCACCACCACCACCATCATCTTCATCACCGCCATCACAAGCAGCAACCACCGTCAACCACCACCCTCCTCTCCGTCATCACCAGCAACTCTCCATCGCCACCGCCGCCACCGCCCGAGACCTCAAGCCCACCGGCCGCCACTCGTTCCTCGCCGACCGCGAGTGGTCACACAGCGTGGCCACACGGAGCCAACCTCGAAAACGACGCCTTTATTGACGCAACGCGTTTCTCCATCCGCAGCGCGCAGCAAAGTGACGGGCAGCTCCCCAGTGAGAGCAAGGCGGCGGTGCGGGGAGAGCCTCTCAAAAGCATTTTCACTGAAAAATAATGATGGTCTTCTTTGGTTCTTTCGGTAAAGTCACGTAGAATGAGAATAAAATAAAATAAGATAATAAAATTCTCACGACGTTTTGGCCACAACACAAGCGGCCTATCTCAGGTGAAGAAACAGAGTCTATCCTCGGGCTCTGTCTCCTGGATCGACCTGTTTCTTCACCTGAGGAAGGCCGCTTGTGTTGTGGCCGAAACGTCGTGAGAATTTTATTATCTTATTTCATTTCATTATTTTATTCTCATTCCACGTGACTTTACCCGAAAGAACCCAAATAAGACGAATCCTTGCAGTCACGAAAGCTTTAAATCGAAAAAATAAGAATGGGTTTGTCCCTCTCTGGCAACGAAACAGGTGCTGTGTTAAGACGTTCGCCAAACAGAAACTGTTATCAAGGAACTGAGCACTGCATTAACCACGCGGCACTTGTGGTGAACATGCAAACGTGCCCCAGATGATACACGCATTGTTTTTTTTTTAAAACTGATTTGGCCTACACCAGAGACAGTGGCTTTCTTCATGGGCCTAGTCTCACCAGCAGTGTCAGACCAGAGAACAGCGCCAAAAAGCGAACCGGTACAAGTACAATGCCACACGGAGCGCGGAATTTTTAGCTCGGGGTGTGAGCAGCTGTGTCGTGGGGTACCTTTTTTTGCACAGTATCAAAGTATGGAAAATAAGAATAGGTTTCACCTTTTCTGGCAATAAAATTCTTATTTTTCATACTTTGATACAGTAAAACCTTGGATTGCGAGCATAATTCGTTCCGGAAACGTGTTTGTAATCCAAAGCACTCGTATATCAAAGCACTCGGATATCAGTTGTGATCACGTGACGCTCGGCAGACAAAGCGTAGACGTGCTACTACTCGTATTGCAAGACCTCGCTCGTTTATCAAATTAATATTTATTTACAAATGTTTGCTCATCTTGCAAAACACTCGCAGACCAAGTTACTCACAATCCAAGGTTTTTACTGTACTGGCAAAAAAAGTTATCCCATGATAATATTTACACTGTCTGGGGATGACAAAAACACTCTTATTTGTTTTAAATCGCCCCCCAAAAAAACCAAGCAAATTTGGTTAAATGATCATTTCCGCGAGCAAATGTTAAAACGTTTCCCGACGAGACTGTAGAAATGCCACTTTGGGCGACGGACGTTAAACACGTCCAAAAACGTCGTCGGTACACACGGAGCACACACGTCTCCCGGAGACGCGCACTTTCCACTCAACATTTTAACAATAACTATCATAATAATAATGACCTCAACTTGTAAAGAACAGCAACGACCACAACAACAACAACTCGCTCTCGATGAGAGAAACGGGCTCAGAGGCGCGACGAGCCGCCATAGGCGAGCGGGGGGGAAAGTCAGCCGCGTGGCGAGCGGTTACCAACAACTGTCCCCCCAAGCTCTGCGGGGTCCTCTACATATCAGGGCGTTATCGGCCAATAAATGTTTATGCATGTGGGAGGAAACCGGAGCGCCGGAGAAAGCCCAGGCATTCGTCGTGAAGCAGTGCTTCGAATTAACCAGGGGGTGCACGCTGCACTCCCTGGGGGAGCGAGATGCCCTTTCTGGGGGTGCGAGACATGGCCAGGTATTTTTTTAGACGGTAAATCATCGAAAACACGAAATTAAGCACGGGGCAACGTAGGTAACGACCTACTTTATTTCAGTCAAACCCTCTGCATTTATTAACATTGTAATTTGTTTTACGATTGAGAACCAATGGGGTGCAAGGCTGGCAATAAAGTTTAAGAACTACTGGCGTTTAGAGACGGAACAGGTGTGGAGGGGTCCGCAGGGAGTTTCACACAATCCGTGCGTGATCCACCAACCCTCGGCGCTGCCTTCGCAGCGCCGGGTTACAGGCAGCCCACGTGCGCCAAACGCCGGGCCCGCCAAAATCGCCTCCACCCAAGTCGCGCGTTGCACCCGTCACAAAACCTCGTGGTTCGAATCCGGCGTCCGCCCTGGTTATGTAAACCGCGGTGTGCGACAACCGTGGGAGCAGTCGTAGTAACGACACTGCCACGCGCCGGTCACGCTTCGCTCACAGCGGACGTGGACCGTCGTGCGCCGGACGTCACGATCGAATCAAATTCGGAAATTTCACAAAATTCGAAAAGCGCGCCGCAAAAGTGACTCAATCGGGATTGGACGCACAGCGGCAATCACGGCCCCCTACGGGCAGACGGATGTCCCAGGTCACTCCTGCAAATATGACACTCACCCTGACCCTCTCTTTTCGGAGTTCTCAACCGGGTTAAACAAACTTTGAAACGTTGAAAACTGAAAGTGGAGGATCATACGCGGAGGAAATTGTTTTGCTCAGCTCCGCACCACGGCGAGGATGTGAGAGGTCGTCGCAGCCCGTGCCGCTGTGGTCTCTCCGGGGCTCTACGGAAGGCGAATCGAGGCCGACGTTGTCCAACGATCCGTCCGGGACGATTCGTCTTGGGGACGGGTCACGGAGAGAGGGAGGGAGCAAGAGAAGACGGTGTAAGACCACGGGGCAGCCCAAATGAGCGTCTTCCGTCAAAAGCAAAAAACATTTTCAAGAGTCGGCCCCGAGGTTAGTTCCATTTCCCAGCCTCGCTAACGGGGTTGCTCGTGAGCGACCCCCACACAAGGACGTCTGGGGTTCGACCCATACCCAGCAAACCAGTGGGTCAGCTCTCTAAACCGCTCCAGAGCAGAGGCACGGCAGATGCCGTCCCCTCCTCCATCAACGGAACGTGAAGAACGGCGGTTCGCAACGTTGATAGCAGCTGCAGTTACCAGAGCCAGGGCATGGATCATCACGTGGCCCAACACTGCCCCCTTCCACAGCGTAATTGCACACTCATGCAAACGAGACTGTATCCAGCTCTTTTGAGCTCCCAACTGGAAACCTGAAATTGTTAACACCGATCTGGACCCCAATCGGTCAACCCGCTCACCCCCCACCATCCCACTCACCCACCCACTCACCCACCCACCCACGCACCCCTACACCGTCTCATTCCACTCGTGTCGTGTGCCTTGCTCTCATCGCCGCGTGACGAGGCTTCCCGCAATCCCGGCGTCGCGAGCTCTCGCCCGGCACCGCCACCGTCGACGACAACCCCCCGAAACGAACTCGACACTCACGGCAGGCGCCATCAGAAGTCCCAGTCGCCGTCGCCGTCGTCGTCGGCGGCGGCGGCCTGCATGCGCTGCAGGCCGCGGACGACCCCGTCGAGGCCGTTGTCCGGGTGGGCGTGCGTCGCCGCCTCCTGCTGCTCCGTGAGCGGCGCCACGGGCCTCAGCAGCTCGGGAAGGGCGTCGCACTGCCGCTTGCGCACCTGCACGCGCCGTCAACGTTCCAGCAACGTTCCAGCAACGTTCCAGCAACGTTCCAGCAACGTTCCAGCAACGTTCCAGCAACGATTCCGCTGCGTTGGGTTTCCTCGGCGTTCACAGTCAAGTGTCCCAAATAATGTATCTATCGTCACCGCCGCGAGGACAGGGCGGTGGCGGTACCCATAGGGTAGATGGAGCAGCAATGTAAGCATGTCGACCTTTGATACAGAATATAAGTAAAGGGGACCAGAGGTCGGGAAGAATGCGCGATAGGCAGCAGCAGATCGCACTGTTACTTGGGGCTGCCGGTAGGTAGTGGTTAGATTATAGACAGGGGACACAAATTGCCTGCCCGCATGTATGCAGAACTTTTTTCGCACCGTATGTAGCCAACCGTGTTAATCGTAGGTGTGGAGGAACAACAACAAACTAAGCACAAAAAGCAGTTCTAAAGAAATTACTTTTCAATCCAGATTGAAAAGTGTCCATAGCTCCAGTGGCTGCCTAATATCAGAAGGCAGAGCGTTCCAGGTGGCCGCAGAAGTGCGTCTGAGAGCGCACGATGCGGTGACCGTCTACGTTCAATGGCCAGCTAAAGGCCGCTGCTAGGATGGCCGGAGTGCGCGTGATGGTTTTACGCTCCTTGACGAGGTGGGCAAGATATTGTGGCTCATTTGTGGCAAGCACTTTGCGTGTAACGAGTGCGACCTCATGACGTATTCGTTCGGCAGAAGTGAACACCGATGATTGTACTGGCCCGATGAGCCCTGCTGAGGACGAGGCCGGTCTACAGCTGTCGCGAGTTTCACTGCGGGCCCGTTGGAACGGCTACACTCTTCCAACTCCTCCACCAATCTGGCGGCGGCCTTCCTCGCCTCGCTGTCTTGCTGAACGTCGAAAGTCAAAAAAGCCAACCCAGATATTCGGATATTTAGCAAGCAGCGGAGGCCCAAACGACAACCGTCTCCAAGCATTCAGTCTCTCAAGCTGGCGAGGGGGCGGACGGCTGGGTCAGAGGTCAGATCAGAGATGTCGAGCCGGCACCGCTCAAATCCTGGATTTGAATCTGCAGGATCAGCCGCCCTGATCGATATGTCGGCACGTATAAATCATAATAATAATAAAAATGTGTAATCGTGTACGTGTGTATGTCGAACTTCTTTCGCACCGTACGTAGCCAACCGTGGCAATTGGAGGTGCGGTGGCAGGACAACAAAATAAAAAAAAGTGGATAATCTTGCCGGGTTGCCGAAGGGTTAATGACGAGAATAGGCAGGGCTAACAGACGCACGTGGATCGGTGTCACGAGCGTTCACGGGACTACCCGATGCTCCGTGGATGACGGCGACTGCTCACCTGCTTGAAGAACACGTGGTTCATCAAGGCTGTCGCCGACGGCCTAGATAGAGGAACAAGAAAACTGTGTTTTTAATAAGCCCCCCCCCCCGTTTGTAAGTACGGCACGACGCCGCACATCCGACTCACCGGGGGACGCACGTGTGAGCGGATAAGTCGAGGTCGGATACGTGAACATTGTTGCGATGTCGAACTTCTTTCACACCGTATGCAGCCAACCGCGCGAATCGGAGGTGCGGGAAATGTTGTGGGCCATCGGCCGTTCGGCTTTCCAGGACCAATGTTATCCAGGCAGCAATTATTTAAGCAAACAAACTCTGGACCGGTCCCCGAACCTTCTGGGTCTCATCAGCAGAGTCAGACTGGTCAGATCGGTCACACCATCCGTGCAACAAATAGGGCTTCGGGACAAAACATTGAAACTGAACCTGCACGAAGCAGGAAACGCTTCACTGTAGAAATCCGAGCTGCTTGAGAAGGCAAAACTTTCGCTCGGTTTGCGAGCGCCCAGCGCCGAACGTCACTTGAGGCAGGGGTGGGTAAGGGGGATGGTCGCTGAAGAAGAGGGGAAACGCGCCGGTACCGTCTGTCGGGGTCCCGCTGCAGGCAGATCTCGGTGAAGTTGTGGAAGGGCGCGGAGAAGGTGCGGTTGTACGGATGTGAGAACTGGTCGGGCGAAGACGCCGCCGGCCAGCCCGCCGCCCCGCCGCCTCCCGCCCCTCCTCCGCGGAGACGTGACGAGTCACCAGCGTCGCGCGCGGCGCACGACGGGAGACAGCGAGCCGATCGGACTCCAGGTAAGATAAAGCCGATTTCTTTTTTTCTTTTCATGTCAAGTGTGAGTTATGTTTTTCTTACTATGAAGCAGTGGTTCTTAGCCGTTACAGCAGCCCTTGCACCCCTTTGGTTTTCAATCGTAAAAAAAAATGCACGTTAATAAACGCGTAGGGTTTGCTGAAACAAAGGAGTTGCCCGTGCTCAATTTGTGTTTTCGATTATATACCTCCCAAAAAAAAAACCTGGCCATGTCTCGCACCCACAGAAAGGGCATCACACACCCCCAGTGATGCACCCCAGATCAAGAACCACTGCTGTCGAGTATGTATGACAGTATCACGTGCAACGGTAAGATATCTCTTCTCATTCGTGAGTTTAACAATGCATCATTTTTTGTTGAACCGTAATACATTTTATAACATACAGTCAAATATTGCGTTTCGAGATTACAAAGAGACACGGACTTACGAACGGGCCTCAGGAACGTAAGCCGTCGTTCATAAGTGGAGGGCTGCCCCGTGTACATATTTATTGTTTAAAATTTCGCGTTGCTGGCCCACTGAGAGGCGTACCTTCCACTCCGTGGGAAGCACGTGCGTTTTGTAAATTGAGATCCTCCGCGGGAATGGTGTGCGTGTCCAGCAGGCACGGCACGGTTCCGTTCAACTTTTCCAGCAACATCTGAGTTGATCGCAACATCGCACGCACACACAAAGACCCCCCCACACAGAGCCTCAACAGGCTGTTGGGGCAAGTGCCGTTAAGAGAGCGCCTATGAAGGCCGGCACGAGCGGGTGGATAGCAGGCACCACGCCCCACCAACCTTTGTCTCCCCTAGTGGCAAAGTCCACACGCCGCACCGGGTGGGGAAATAAAATTACGGCAACCCTGAAAACGGATGTGCTGCGATGCGACTGTTACCTGTGTGGTGGGCATGTCTTTAAAGGGCACGTGGGCGTTGGCAAGTTCACAGGCCATGATGCCCAGGCTGTAGATGTCCGACTTCGTGTCGTACCCTTCCAGGTTCTGCAAAGCAACAAAGCCGACAACGCTTCACAGCAGCGCCGCCGCCACCACCAAGGCTGAACGACGCCCCCACGGGCCCCTCCTGCTCAAGCCAACACCGAGGCATGAAAAATACGAATGGGTTTTACCGTTTTTGACAATCAAACAGGAGTTGTGTTAAGTTATTCAAACGCCAAATGGAAACCTTTTGCAAGGAATCAAGTCACTGCATTCACCACGCAGAGTGATTGTGGCGAACGTGCAAACAAGCATGCTCTGACAATGTGTGGCATCGTCTTTGAAACCGATTGGCCTATATCAGACAGCCTTCTTTAGGGCCCAGTCTCACCAGTGTCAGACCAGAGAACGCCAAAAAGTAAACAGTACAAAGACAATGTACGTATCTGAGCATTTATAGCTTGGGGTGAGTAGCTATATCATGGGGACCTTTTTACCAGTATCAAAGACTGAAAAATAAGAATAAGTTGTACTCTTTTTGGCAATAAAACAGGAGGCCTTAAGATTTTCAAACGCCAAATAGAAACCTTTTGCAAAGACCCAAGTCTGCATTAACCACACCCAGTACTTGTGGTGAACACCGAGGCATTGGTTCTCATCTCCTGCTTACAAAGCTGCAGGGGCCCAGCGGTGGAAATTCCACATTCGTACTGCATGGGGCGAGTCTCTCCACAGGACAGCCATGATGAAACGATGTCCGGCAGTGACCATCCCTGGTCCTTGGTGGTTAGAGGGGAGGAGGTTGGAGGTTGGTGATTGCACTGCTGCTGCTACTGCTGCGGAGAGTTCTACCATGAGCTGTGGTGCAGGCAGACAGGAGCGAGGAGACAGATGTGGATGACTAAGAGTAGAGGTGCCGTGATGGCGCAGGCAGGAGATCCTGTAGCGGACCCTACTGGTGATGGTGGGGAGCCAGTGGGGGAGAGAGTAGAGGCAGGAGATCCTGTAGCGGACCCTACTGGTGATGGTGGGGAGCCAGTGGGGGAAGGAGTGGAGGCAGGAGATGTTGTAGCGGACCCTACTGGTGATGGTGGGAAGCCAGTGGGGGAGAGAGTGGAGGCAGGAGATCCTGTAGCGGACCCTACTGGTGATGGTGGGGAGCCAGTGGGGGAAGGAGTGGAGGCAGGAGATGTTGTAGCGGACCCTACTGGTGATGGTGGGAAGCCAGTGATGGGAGAGAGTGGAGGCAGGAGATCTTGTAGTGGACCCTACTGGTGATGGTGGGAAGTCAGTGGGGGAGAGAGTGGAGGCAGGAGATCTTGTAGTGGACCCTACTGGTGATGGTGGGGAGCCAGTGGTGGGAGAGAGTGGAGGCAGGAGATCTTGTAGTGGACCCTACTGGTGATGGTGGGAAGCCAGTGGGGGAGAGAGTGGAGGCAGGAGATCTTGTAGTGGACCCTACTGGTGATGGTGGGGAGCCAGTGGGGGAGAGAGTAGAGGCAGGAGATCTTGTAGTGGACCCTACTGGTGATGGTGGGAAGCCAGTGGTGGGAGAGAGTGGAGGCAGGAGATCTTGTAGTGGACCCTACTGGTGATGGTGGGAAGCCAGTGGTGGGAGGGAGTGGAGACAGGAGATCTTGTAGCAGACCCTACTGGTGATGGTGGGAAGCCAGTGGTGGGAGGGAGTGGAGGCCGGAGATCTTGTAGTGGACCCTACTGGTGATGGTGGGAAGCCAGTGGGGGAGAGAGTGGAGGCAGGAGATCTTGTAGCAGACCCTACTGGTGATGGTGGGAAGCCAGTGGGGGAGAGAGTGGAGGCAGGAGATCTTGTAGCGGACCCTACTGGTGATGGTGGGAAGCCAGTGGTGGGAGAGAGTGGAGGCTGGAGATCTTGTAGTGGACCCTACTGGTGATGGTGGGAAGCCAGTGGGGGAGAGAGTGGAGGCAGGAGATCTTGTAGCAGACCCTACTGGTGATGGTGGGAAGCCAGTGGGGGAGAGAGTGGAGGCAGGAGATCTTGTAGCGGACCCTACTGGTGATGGTGGGAAGCCAGTGGTGGGAGAGAGTGGAGGCAGGAGATCTTGTAGTGGACCCTACTGGTGATGGTGGGAAGCCAGTGGTGGGAGGGAGTGGAGACAGGAGATCTTGTAGCAGACCCTACTGGTGATGGTGGGAAGCCAGTGGGGGAGAGAGTGGAGGCAGGAGATCTTGTAGTGGACCCTACTGGTGATGGTGGGAAGCCAGTGGTGGGAGGGAGTGGAGGCCGGAGATCCTGTAGCGGACCCTACTGGTGATGGTGGGAAGCCAGTGGTGGGAGAGAGTGGAGGCAGGAGATCCTGTAGCGGACCCTACTGGTGATGGTGGGAAGCCAGTGGTGGGAGAGAGTGGAGGCTGGAGATCTTGTAGCGGACCCTACTGGTGATGGTGGGAAGCCAGTGGGGGAGAGAGTGGAGGCAGGAGATCTTGTAGCAGACCCTACTGGTGATGGTGGGAAGCCAGTGGGGGAGAGAGTGGAGGCAGGAGATCTTGTAGCGGACCCTACTGGTGATGGTGGGAAGCCAGTGGGGGAAGGAGTGGAGGGAGGTGAAGAAATCCAGGCGAGAATGACAGGTGCTGAGGATGATGGGATCGAGATGGTTTTGAAACCATCGGGAGTTTCTTGAGGTTGCTCGTATGTTGAACTTCTTTCGCACCACACGTAGCCAACTGTGCTCATCGGATGAAGATCGAACAAGGCCGAAGTTGCAAGAGCCGAGGTGAGACCAGACGATGCTGCAGCCGTGGGTGTCCGCGATTTCCCTGGTGACGAGTGGCTATATATACGTGTGTGCGTGTGTGCGCGTACGTGTGTGTGCGCGCACGTGTATGTCCGCTAGTGCGGAAGACCGCACCTGCTGCAGCAGCTCCGGGCTGAGCCAGGGCAGGGTGCCCACGCTGTGGCGCGGGAAGGTGTGCACCGCTCGCAGCCGGTGCCCGTCCAGGATCATGCTGAGCGCGCTGCGTAACCCCGTGAGGTACACGCGGCCGTCCGCCGACACCAGCACGTGGCTCGCCTTCACGCTCCTAGCACAACACGGAGATCCCACCACCCACCCCGCCGTGCAGCCTCAACAGACCGCGGTGGCTAGGAGGGTGTTAACCGCCTCGCGTTTAAATTATTTCGAGTATTATTTTGCTGCTCTAAATGTCCAAGTGATGGGCCGCTCTGTTGAGCGGTCATTTGCCGTAGCCAGGTCGCTTCCAAAAACTAAGTCGATATCTCAGTGGGCTTTGCCGGGTAGGATGGGGATGGTCACGCGTTGTATTTGTTTGTGTGTGGGTGATTTGTTTACCTTTCTTGCACTTAGCGCTACCATCGTGTTTTTGTACTGTTCATTGCAGTAATGTTTTTTCCCGCCCCTACTGGACATCTGTGAAAAAGAGATGTATATCTTGATTTGAAGCTTTCGTGACTGCAGGAATCAATACTCTTTGGTTCTTTCGGTAAAGTCACGCAGGCAGAAAATTTTAATTAAATAAATAAAAACAAATCACGACGTTTCGACCGCAACACAAGCGGTCGTCCTCAGGCGGAAGAAAATCATCCAGCAGTGGAACTGCTGAACCAGCGAGAGAGCTGTTACAACAACAAGAGGTGATTTACATGTATATTTGGAGTTCGCATGTTCTCCCTGTGGGCGCGTGGATATTTCTCCGGGCTCCTCCGGTTTTTTCCTCCAAATTTAGAATGAACGCCACACGTTTTAGAGTATTTGGCTGCTGTAAATGTCGACGTGATGATGATGATGATGACAATGAGCCACTTCACTGAGCTATCATTTGTGGTCACTTTTGAAAAAAAGCTATTCAGCTCAATGGGCCTTACTTCCTGAAATAAAAATTCGTTTAGTTTAGTTTTTCACACTGCTGGGGCAAGTGCTGTTAGCGAGTAGCACCTAAGACGGCCGGCACGGCGCACAAGGGGGGTTGAGGGGTGGCCAGCACCACGCCCGGCCGCCTTTGTCTCCCCCAGTGGCGATGTTTACACACCGCACCAGGTACTCATTTGAGGCTACATCGACCTTGCGGAGGCCCAGAACCGGTTCAGATAATCGTCACCGGCGTTGGCCGTGAGCGGGAATGAAACGCGGGTCGCCGTTTCGTAAAGTAGCGCGCTAACAACGCAACAACAACAACAACCGCTGTTCGCCACTCAGTACCGGGCACCCCCCCCGCCTCCCCTCCAACCCCTCCATGGGGGCCCGTCTAGCCGACGTTTCAGCACCGCCGCGGTCGTCTCGCACGTTGGCCTCCTCTCACCTGTGCACGAAGCCCATCCTGTGGACGTACTCCAGCGCCCGCAGAACCTCGTACAGGACCAGGGCGATGGCCGGCTCCGGCAGGCCGTCCGTGAAGTGCGCCGAGATGAGGTCCTTCGCCGAGCCTGCGCCGCCACCTCCCAACAGGGCAACTGCTTGCTGTTGTGTTGTTTGTGTTTGTTGTTGTTGTTGTTTGTGTTTGTTGTTGTTGTCGTTTACGGTCACGTGACGCTCGCGACAACGCGCGGCGCGGGGCGGCCCCGCGTCCAGCAAAGTGGATGGGCGAAACGGGCCCGCGGCCTGCCGATCAGATGTTCGTGGTTTGAGATCCGGCAGGCCGCCCCGGTTAATCGGTGCGGCGCGTATCGAAGGCAAAGATGCTGCTGCGCGCCGTGGACGTTCAACGGTCCCCACGCGGCGGCGTTCCAAACAGGCGGCCCACCGCTGTGCCGGCAAAGCGACCCGCATTCGAAAAATTGCTCCGCGGGCTACTCGTTTGGGAATACACATCAGCAGCAACAGCAGCAGCAACAATCATCGCCCCTAGAAGGTGACTCAGCACCTGGCAGGCCAGGTGGCAGGCCAGGTGGCAGGCCAGGTGGCAGGCCAGGTGGCAGGCCAGGCGGCAGGCCAGGTGCTGAGACACCTTGTCTTGCACGGGGACCCGCCGCCAACTGGCAAGATGAGATGTGATGCAAGTCGCTTATCGCGTGTAGGGCCCTCCGAGAACAGCGCCATCGTGATCACGTTGCGGTAGTTTATTTTCACACGTGTAGCGGCGCATTTCTCACCATAAGCCATGAACGGAGTGATGATCCAGAGTTCGTTGTCCACCACAAAGGACGCCCAGTAAGGCAGGATGTTTGAGTGGTGGAAAAGCTTGGCGATATGAAGCTCATCCTGAAAGTAAACGCACACAATTCAAACTAATCTTTCAACTCGGGTTCCCGCCTTTTATCCACGAGCCAAAAAAAGCGCTCCAACCTCGTGTGGTGCGTGCAGTGGGCACAGCGCTATTACGAGGTGGGGTGGGGTGGGGGGGGGGGGCATCAGCTCTTATTGAACGGCGCGTCAGGACACCGGGCGCATCGCAACGGCACGGCGTCACAACGCCCCGCTCGGCCCCGTCACGCCCGCAAACCGGTACGAGACACGTCACACGAACACGACATGCACAAATGACAAACACAAGACACACACACACGACACAGCATACGACACACACACGCACCCAAGGGTACGCAGGTGAACACAACACAAACCGGATGTTAAAACGCTCAAGCTCTTGATGATATCAACGAAGGTCTAGAGAGACTAGAGGACATAACCAGGTTTTAAAGACTTCATATTGACCGTTAATGGCGTGGCTTAATGTGACAGTGGGAGAGAAATGATGGAGGGGGAGCCACTAGGAGGGAAAGTGCCCCCAGAGAATGTCCACCATAAAAATTGCGCAAGTTATCGGAGAGTTAAAGGTGTTGGTACCACTCAAGCATGGCCTTCCCAGGTGGAACCAAACACAGACCGTGACGCCGTTCGAACGACATCACTGGTATTTGAACGTCTGCTGTGAAGCAAACGGCCTGCGGTATTTATTTTGTTTTCCGCGGTCAACACGCCCGCGCCATTGACCGGGCCAGCCCGTCGGTTTCGAACCATGAACCTCTGCAACGAGTGGGAGAGCTTTGGACCTCTGGGCCCACGTCACCGCCAAAACGTGCGTCTGGGGCAGCCGAGGAACGTGGGAGCACGCCGGCGAAACATCCGTCAGTCAGGCTCTCTCACTGCCCTGGATCTGCAGCGGCCATGCCACTGCCTTTCCTGGGTTTCACTGTGCCGCTCCTTCGGGGGGGGGAGGGGGGGGGGAGCGCATTTCGCGAGTCCTCACCTGCAGCAGCGAGAAGAGCTCATGGGAACAGCCCTCCAGGTTGATATGGCGCACGGCGACGTAGCTCCCCGAAGGCACGTGTCGCGCCAGGCGAACGGACATCAACTCCTCAAATCCGTTCCCTGCAACGGGGACAGGGTTGGCGATGCAAGGCGCGAAAGAGGCTCCGACATACGTACGTACAACGATCCCCCCAACCCCACCGGCCCACCCCGATCCCGAGGTGTAGACTTTTTGTCTCACATAATTGCAGAGGCCGAAAGGAGTTCTGCGCCGGGAATGGGATCTGATGCTTTTCAGATTCGTATCGCGCCTTTTTCCGAGGCGCTTCACAGCAATTATACAATTGCACAAAGCGTGATAGTAATTTGAAAACGACGAATTGGGTTATTGTAAGCGGTGGTGTAGTTCTGAGCGGGAGAAGGAATGGTGGCGACAAGATGTCAGGGATGATGATGGTGACGATGATGGATGATGATGACGACGACGATGATGAGAGGGAAGAGGGGGAGAAGCGAGAAGGAGCGATCAAGACGTGAACTGGCACGGACGGAGCAGCGTCTGTTTCCACAGGGGGCGGCGGTGACAGCGGAGGGGTTCAGAGCTGGGGGTGGCCACAACGGAAGTCGCGTGGTTTGCGGGAGACTTCAGCTCGAGAGGTACAGATTACTCGGAGCATTATTATCGTCGTCGTCACGCACCCAGCATGCTGATCGTCTGGTAGTGGTTGCGCTCGGGCAGGTAGGTGGTCATTGTTCTTTTCCCCCCGCACCTCTTCGGTCCGACAGACCATCAGCCTGCAGCGAAGGAGCAACGAGTCAACGCAACGCGAGCACTGCCGTACAGGGCACAGCACGCAGCAGCAGCAGCAGCAAAATCGACTGCCAGTGCAAGTGCCACAACACTGATGTAGCTTTTGATTTAAAGCTTTCGTGACTGCAGGGATTCATAATCTTGGTTCTTTCGGTAAAGTCACCACGTAGAAGGGAAACAATAAAATAATAAAAATATAAAACAATAAAATAATAAAAATATAAAACAATAAATTTATCATTATTTTATTGTTTCCCTTCTACGTGACGTTAACCGAAAGAACCAAGAATATTGATGTAGCTGTTGACCCATACGGTTTACCCCGTACTCTTGTGCAGGGAAATTTAGTTTTTTAAGGTCCATACGGTGGTACAGCCGTTTCAATACGGGCAACAACAACAAAAAGTGTCTTTGTGTTTCTCCCTTGTGATGGGACTTGGTAGGATGAACGTTGAGATGTATAAAGGCACGGGGTGACCAATAAGGCGTGAGTTGGTCTGCAATAAGGTAGGGCTCTGATAAGCGGTTGACAGGTATGGAATTTATAAGCGGTCAATGTTCCTTCCAAAAAAATGTCCCTTCACACACACAATTTTTTTTACGCATCCCCTCGGCCACACGGCGCTACCCTCTGGCAGTGCACAATCTCGGGCAGCATCGGTTCAACCAGGAGCTAAAATCTCGGACGGGTTTCGACGTGCAGTGTCTCATCAGCAGTCAGGCTCGCTTGAACCGGTGCTGGCGAACTGCCCAGATGTTCCCAGGCAGGCAACCTCGTGTTTTATTGCAGGAATACTTTGTTTGGCAGCAACACGTTCTCATTACGGATTGAAGGGTGTGCACGTTACTCAATGGCCACTAATATTGTAACTGTTCACGCGCCTATTTAACCGCTGGGGTCATCCGGTATTGGGCGTGAAATGCGATACTCATCATACCACCCCCCCCCTCCTCCATGGTGGAACCTCCACTCTCTCCAACTGTTTCATGTGCCATGAACAAGGACCGTGCCCCGAAACGTCGCCCATTGCACGCGTGTCCCCTTCTCAAGGCCACACGCACGACGTCGTTGTTGACAGGGAGCGTGTTGAGAGTGTGGGTGCAGCGGTGTAAGTCTGGAGTCAGGTCTGTTAAGGTCTCGGTGCGTGTACTTGGTAACTCTTCCATAATACAGGGTTTTGTTGGGTTAGATCACGTAAATATTAAAGTGTCGTTAAACCCGCCACCACCCGACACAGTCAATTAGTACAGGTTAGTCACGTAAACAGAACGTGGCCAATTCGTTACTAGTACAGCACTAACCGGTGTGTTGGAGAGCAAATCCACAACATTAACAATGAGTAGATTGTGAATGGAGATCAAAGCCACAACATTCACAATGAGTAGATTGTGAATGGAGATCAAAGCCACAACATTCACAATGAGTAGATTGTGAATGGAGATCAAAGCCACAACATTCACAATCTGAGTAGATTGTGAATAGAGATCAAAGCCACAACATTCACAATCTGAGTAAATTGTGAATGGAGATCAAAGCCACAACATTCACAATCTGAGTGGATTGTGAATGGAGATCAAAGCCACAACATTCACAATGAGTAGATTGTGAATGGAGATCAAAGCCACAACATTCACAATCTGAGTGGATTGTGAATGGAGATCAAAGCCACAACATTCACAATGAGTAGATTGTGAATGGAGATCAAAGCCACAACATTCACAATCTGACTGGATTGTGAATGGAGATCAAAGCCACAACATTCACAATCTGAGTGGATTGTGAATGGAGATCAAAGCCACAATATTCACAATCTGATTAAATTGTGAATGGAGATCAAAGCCACAACATTCACAATCTGAGTGGATTGTGAATGGAGATCAAATCCACAACATTCACAATCTGAGTAAATTGTGAATGGAGATCAAAGCCACAACATTCACAATCTGAGTGGATTGTGAATGGAGATCAAAGCCACAACATTCACAATCTGAGTAGATTGTGAATGGAGATCAAAGCCACAACATTCACAATCTGAGTGGATTGTGAATGGAGATCAAAGCCACAATATTCACAATCTGAGTAAATTGTGAATGGAGATCAAAGCCACAACATTCACAATCTGAGTGGATTGTGAATGGAGATCAAATCCACAACATTCACAACCTGAGTAAATTGTGAATGGAGATCAAATCCACAACATTCACAATCTGAGTAAATTGTGAATGGAGATCAAATCCACAACATTCACAATCTGAGTGGATTGTGAATGGAGATCAAATCCACAACATTCACAATCTGAGTGGATTGTGAATGGAGATCAAATCCACAACATTCACAATCTGAGTGGATTGTGAATGGAGATCAAATCCACAACATTCACAATCTGAGTGGATTGTGAATGGAGATCAAAGCCACAACATTCACAATCTGAGTGGATTGCGAATGGAGATCAAATCCACAACATTCACAATCTGAGTGGATTGCGAATGGAGATCAAATCCACAATATTCACAATCTGAGTGGATTGTGAATGGAGTTCAAATCCACAACATTCACAATCTGAGTAGATTGTGAATGGAGATCAAAGCCACAACATTCACAATCTGAGTGGATTGTGAATGTTGTAAATTTGCTCTGCAACACACAAGCGGTTAAGTGCTGTACTAGTAACGAATCGTCCGCACGTTCTGTTTACGTGACAAACCTTTACCAATTGGCTGTGTCTGGTGGTGGCGGGGTTAACGACACGTTCATATTTACGCGAACTTACAAAAAAAACGATATTACGGATGACATTGGTCGCGAAAGCTCACCACAACGTGTTTAAAGTCTGTGGGCGTAAAAAACAAATCGCTGTCTCCAGCCACCCCACCCCCCGTCTCTCTTCCTGGCCCACTCTACCCATGTGCGCTGCATATGCATGAGGGTCGTTGCCCGAAACGTCGCCTATTATTTCGTGCCCTTTTAAGGCCACGCGCGTTCGCGCTCGCCCCGTGTCGTTATCGCGAGACGGGAGGCGCCCCCCACCGCCGACGAATGCAGCCCGCCCCTCTGTCGCTACGGAGGTCCGTTGCCCGAAACGTCGCCTTGTTATACATACACACACACATGCGCGGTAGTCTGTCTATAGGAAGGCCCGGATCGAGCGAGTGGCGTTGACAGGCGAGCGGGTCGAGTTGCGTACAGTAGAGCGGACGGGCTCGGGTGGAAGAGTCAACATTTCAGTGTGGCTCGGCGTGCCGCTCCTGGGCAACCACAACCACCAACCCCGGGGTAGCCGCACCTCACCTCGAGCGCCCCACCACCACCGTCGTCCACAACAACAACCACCACCACCAGCTGCTGCTGCTGCTGACTCCCTGCCGGACAGTGCCGAGCGTGCAAGAGCTCGGCTCCACCGGCTGACTGATGACGGCACCGTGACGCCATTCAAACTCCTCCCCCACCCCCCACTTCTAGCACCCCCACCACTTCTAGCCCCTCCCCTACTTCTAGCCCCTCCCACCACTTCTAGCCCCCCCCCACTTATAGCCCCTCCCACCACTTCTAGCCCCTCCCCCACTTCTAGCCCCTCCCCTACTTCTAGCCCCTCCCCCACTTCTAGCTCCTCCCCTACTTCTAGCCCCTCCCCCACTTCTAGCCCCCCACTCCACTTCTAGCCCCTCCCACACTTCTAGCCCCCACCCCCCACTTCTAGCCCCCACCCCCACTTCTAGCCCCTCCCCGACTTCTAGCCCCTCCCCTACTTCTAGCCCCCACTCCACTTCTAGCCCCTCCCACACTTCTAGCCCCTCCCCCACTTCTAGCCCCCACCCCCCACTTCTAGCCCCTCCCACATTTCTAGCCCCCACCCCCCACTTCTAGCCCCTCCCCCACTTCTAGCCCCTCCCACACTTCTATCCCCCCCACCACTTCTAGCCCCCACCCCCCACTTCTAGCCCCCCCCACCACTTCTAGCCCCCCCCACCACTTCTAGCCCCCCCCACCACTTCTAACCCCCCCCCACCACTTCTAGCCCCCACCACTTCTAGCTTATCCCCCCCACCACTTCTCGCCCCCACCACTTCTAGCCCCCCCCCCACCACTTCTAGCCCCCCCCACCACTTCTAGCCCCCCCCACTTCTAGCCCCCCCCACCACTTCTAGCCCCCCTTCTAGCCCCCCCCCCACCACTTCTATGTGGTGGGGGGGGGCTGTCCGCCTGATGATGCTGGTTGTAATTACTGACGAAACGTCGTACTCGAATCGTAAATGTTGTTGATTTGCTCTTCAACACGCAAGCGGTAAGTGCTGTACTAGTAACGAATTGGCCACGTTCTGTTTACGTGACAAACCTTTACTAATTGGCCGTGTCGGGTGGTGACGGGTTTAACGACACATTTAGGCGATTTAATCCCTCCCCCCGCCCCCCCCCCCCCCGCCCCCCCCCGCCCCCCAAAAAAACAACCTGTATTATAGTCGATATACATTGTGGGTGAAATCGCTAATCTGAAATAAAAAAAAATATCTCGGGCCGCGAATAATAGTGGCCAGATGAAACGAGTCCACACTTTGCCATATCGCATTCTCCTGATGAGCGCGGTGATGTTGCACCTCGTCGAAGCACGGGGCCGATGTCGCAGATCGGATTTGAAATAATTCAAGATAAAAAATAAAGCAATGTAAATCTTGATTTAAAGCTTTCGTGACTGCAGTAATTCATATTCTTAGTTCTTTCGGTAAAGTCACGTTGTTTCCCTTCAACGTGACTTTACCGAAAGAACTAAGTATACAATGTAAATCTTCTTTGGTTCTTTCGGTAAAGTCACGTAGAATGAGAATAAAATAATAAATTGATAAAATAAAATAACACTGTCCTCCAGACAGTCTCGTCCCCTTCACCTGATGAAGGCCGCTTGTGTTGTGGCCGGAACGTCGTGAGAATATTATTGTGTTATTTTATTTTATCAATTCATTATTTTATTCTCATTCTACGTAACTTTACCGAAAGAACCAAAGAAGATGAATCCTTGCAGTCACGAAAGCTTTAAATCGAAATTTAAAGCAATGTAAAGCCTACGAATATTGTAAGCGGGCATTCCTTCAACTAAATTTGTAACTACGATGACCATATCGGATCGTGCAGCTCTGAAAGGACGCTGTTCATTTCCATCATGAGCACAAACACGTGCTTGTTCTTTTTAGGCGTAATATGGCTCGCTTACGAGTCGACGATTGGTCACCACTGCAAAGGAATTGCAACACGCAGCCAACAAATAGTGGCAAAAATAAAATAAAAACATTTTAACAAAAAAATATTCTAAAATGCAGGGTGTTTAAAAAAAAGATGGACCAAATTTCAAAGCGGTATATTTCACGATGGCAACACGTTACAATTACACGAAAAAAGTTACAAACGGTTTAATGAGTTATCAAGTTTCACTAACCATTTTATAAATGCTCTATGTGCCCTCCCACCTGCTGTACGGACAACATCGAGACGATAGTTGAATTCGTCCCAAACGCCTCTCAAAGTGCCTTCTCTTCCGCTGAAGTCACCGCTGCAGTGATTCTGTTTCTGAGGTCATCCAGATTAGTCGCTAATGGTGGCACAAAAACACCACGGGTCTTTGACGTATCCCCACAATGTGGCGGTGCTCCCTCTTGCTGAAAAATGTGGTCATCGGAATCGTGGAAAGAGCCATTTCTGCAGAATTGCGAGATACGCCTGCCCCATAATTGTGTTTCCTTCGAAAAAGAAAGGGCCGCAAACCTTTCCTTGAGAGACAGCACAAAACACGTTCACTATCGGGGAATTACGCTCATGCTCTGCAGTTTCGTGTGGATTCTCTGGTCCTCATATGCGCACGTTGTGACGGTTAACTTTACCGCTGAGATGGAACGTTGCTTCATCACTAAAAAATCTAACGCGGCAAGAAGCTGTCGCCCTCCATGTTCTGTAACATCGCATCACAAAATTCTACACGCTTTCCTTTGTCACCTGCACGAAGAGCCTGTACCGTCTGTAACCGGTATGGCCTCGTGATTAAACGTCGCCTTAACACACGCCAGCCAGTCGTACGAGGGATCGCAAGTTCTCGGCTGGCACGTCGAGTGGACTTGCGCGGGCTACACAGAAAACTCTCTTGAATTCTTCTCACGTTTTCCTGAGGTGCGTGGTCGCCCCGTGCTCTGCCCCTTACATAAACAGCAGCTCGCTTCCTCAAATTGTCGGTACCAACGACATTGGCGGATCAATGCCAAAACGTCGTTAAAACGCACGCCGCACCGCAATTACGGATTAAGTCTTGCTGAAATGCAGAACACAAAACGCCCCTTGTGTTTGCGGGGTCACCGTCTTGCGAATGACTGAGGCTAGGGGCTGTTTGTGCGCTGGGAGAGGCATCTAGCGGTAATAATTTGAATTTATATGCCCTGCCCTTTCAAGTGGTAAGAGTTTCATTCATGGGCAGTTCGTGGTTGCAGAGATATAGCGATTTCAAATCGGGTCCATGGTTTTGAAACACCCTGTACTACACTTTGTCAAAATTACTGTATTGAAAATGTTTGCCATATTTCCCCAAGTTTTCCTTACGTATTATCATTTCAGAAGTGGCAGGGACTTGGGCTATTTTAAGCTAAATTATAAAAAAAACATTAAGCGCCTTTGATTAGGCGCGGTCCGTCCACTAAGGGCATTGGGGCGCCGCCCCACCGAGCAGCTGGAGATGAGAAATTATTCTTTATCATCAAAAATACTTTTCTATAAATTTGTTTAAAAAATAAATATGATTCTCTCAACGTGAATTGCCTAATGAGGATAACATTTAAAGTTGTTCGTGTTAGAAACCGCTGCAACGCCGCAGTCTAAATTGTGCCTCGGGGAGGTGTCGGGGCGGCTGTGAAGGCGTCCTCCGAGTGAGAGAGATTTCCCCTTCGTTCGTTGCGATGATGAGCTTCGAGCATTGTAGCCACGCCGTTTGAGACCCCATTCAGGGTGGGTGAGGAAGGCGCCCGTGGCTGTAATGACGACGTCACGACGCGAGGTTGCACTGTGCAAATATAGAAGCTCACGGCTTTTCACCCTCTCGGCTTTTGGCAGTGTCAAATGTGTTGTGTGGTGTGGGCTTGAGGGCCGCGGGGACAGCGTTTGAGTGATTTAAAGCTTTCGTGACTGCAGGGATTCATATTCTTGGTTCTTTCGGTAAAGTCACCACGTAGAAGGGAAACAGTAAAATAATAAAAATATAAAACAATACAATTCTCTCGACGTTTCGACTGCAACATCATCTTAACGTTAAGAAAAAACCGCCACTTTTTTCAAATTTTCTTGCCGTGGTTTTTCACACCTGATGATGATTGCTCGTGTTGCAGTCGAAACGTCGTGAGAATTTTATTGTTTTATTTTGATTACTTTATTATTTCCCTTCTACGTGACTTTACCGAAAGAACCAAGAATATCATTTGAGTGTTTTGTTTCGCATTGTTTATAAATGCCTCACCGTTGGTAGATAAGACAGTTGTATCGCTTTCACGTGAAGGCCAATAACACGACGAGGTTTTCCCTTGTTAGAACACCAAATATTCAGAGGTCACTCACAACAGCCCCATCTAGTAGACATGTCACGAGCCACCACTGGTCTATACTTAATCGAATTCAAGTTATCATTGCATTTTTCCTTTCGTAGTAGTCTCTTATATTCCTGTTTGGCATAGCTGTTCAGGGATTGTTACTGGCTTCTTGCTTTGTGTATTTATTTAAAATAATTTACTCATATGTAATTTCTTACGCTGAAATTTTGCAATATTTTTAATCAATTAGTATGATCTATATACTTTAGGTGATCTCACCCTCCCCAGTCTTCCAATATGTCAGATGGATATAAAAGAATGAGTCAGGACACGATAAGAGGGAGAAACGAGAAGTAAACGATGAAGCATTGAAAGAGATCAAGGGATCTATTCTGAGGTTCATGAACAAGGATGTGAAGAGTGATAGTGCAAAACCTTCAATGGAATCATAGCTGATTAATGATACAGTTGGATCATAATAGTGAACCGTGTGAAAATGTTGTTTTTGAAACAGAATCTCATTCGTACATAGAGGGTAGATCAAGTGAAGAACAGGCTAATGCCCCTTTGGGAGCAAATGATGCGGTGGATAAAACATCACAAGAGACTCCAAAGGTAACATCAGATGCTGACTTTTCTAGAAGGCCTGCCAATGATCCTGCACTCTTGAGATGAAAAAACGGCAAAATGCATTTGCCAGATTGAATGATCGATTCAGTTTCCTTGTATCAATGTTCACAGATGAAATAGCTGCACGGGCCAATGCATTGGTGGCTGCATATCCAACAGATCTTGAAATATCATTCACTGATGAATTTCTGTTGTTCCTGCATCTGTATGCAGAGAAAAAAAAAGTGGCAGATGTGCTCAAAGCCCAAATATCCAACAAGCTGATGAGCAGCATTCGGAATGTTTACATTGCTTTGAGGATGTATCTTGCCATCTTGGGAACGAATAGTGAAGGAGAGCGTTCTTGTGCATGTTTCCTTGGATCGGGACGTTGCAAACCGAAATGTGTTGTCCCGTCCACTGTTTTGGCCGCCGCCACTGACGCGCCGGCTCTGGGTAGCTCTCTCTCTCTCAAACGGGTGGGGATTCGTTGTTTAATTTGACCCTCGCTGACTGGGGTCGGCTTCAAATGGGGGACGCGTCCCTGCTCACGCTACGTCGTAAGGCTGACGGCTCCACGGACGGTCGGAGAGGGGTCGATTCTTGGATAATGCGGGAGGGACTCCTTATGAATTGGGACGGAAAAGCCCTCCGTTACAGAATCGTCATGCCGTCTGCCTTGCGGGGTAGGGTCATTCTGGCCGCTCATGAGCGGCTGTTGCATTTAGGGTTTCACAAGACCCTAGCCATGCTAGGGTCTTGTGAAACCCATTGAAGCTCTGTCGTCCCGACAGGTCTGTTCCTTTCACCTGAAGACGGCGGCTTGCGTTGTGGCCGAAACGTCGTGAGAATTTTATTGTTATTTTATTGTTTTATTCTCATTCTACGTGACTTTACCGAAAGAACCAAAGAAGACGAGCCATGCTCTGCCTTGACATCTTCTGGCCGGGCATGGATAAAGATGTGTCGATTGTTCTCAAGGGCTGTGTGCAGTGTGCCCAACGAAAACCGCCAGCCAAAACGGGCCTGTCCGCCGTTACAATCCATTCGAGTCTCCCGCGTCAATGAGCTCGTCGTTCTCGACTTTTTTTTGCCATTCCCGGCAACGCCTAGGGGTAATAAATACCTGCTGGTTGGCCTCGAATATTTAACTCGATGGCCCATGGCCTGGCCACTTGCTAACCAGTCGGCAGCGGCCGTCGCCGAAGCCTTTGTCCAGGGCTATGTCCTAGACAAAGGCGCACCGGAACGGCTGCTGACCGATCGGGGAAAACATTTCTCGAGTTCCCTACTGCGTGAGGTGTGCGACCTGTTGGGTACAAAGAAAGTGCGTACCTCCCCGTACCACCCGCAGACGGACGGGATGGTGGAGCAGCTCCACAGGACGCTCACGTCCATGCTGTGCCATCAGGTGTGCGAGTCTCAGGTGGATTGGGACCTCCAAATCCCGGGTGTTCTTGCCGCCTATAGGATGGCTCCCCACGCGGCAACTGGGTATTCCCCCTTCTTCCTGATGTACGGCAGGGATACTGATCCACCGGTGGATGCCCAGTTGGGAATTTCGGTGCCCCACCCTAAATCCAAGTTGGCTGATCATGTCAAATTCAACCTTTTTAAATTGGCCGAGGCACGGGAGGCTGCGGCACAGCATTCAAGCTCTTGCCAAGTGGCGAACGAGCGGTTGCGTGCACACCGCACACACACCCACGAGTGGAAGCCTGGCGATAAGGCCTGGCTACACTGTCCGCAGGTACCGCTGGCAACATCCCCTAATCTGCTGAAGCCATGGAGAGGGGCGGTTGAGGTTGTGAAGGTCGCACGACCACAATGTGTTCGGATTAAGAGGGGGAAACGGCTATGGTATGTTCACCCCTCACGACTGAAACCGTTCATTTCACCGCATACCTACCATGGATGTCCTAGGGGCTGAGCATGTGATGTGTCCGTCGACTCGGGGAATGTGGTACCGTCGCCTGATCCTCACATGCCACTGCCTGTTCCACTTCCAGGAACACCGGAATTGACGGCTGACAAAGCTCATCGGCCACCGGAGCCGGACAATGAACGTGGAACCAGGCAGCCCACACCGTGCCCTCAGGGGCTGCCTGCCTCAACCCCCAGACCACCATTCCCTGCCCCGTACGACGGGCCAGCCAGTCGGACTCGTGCTAAATCACGCCGGTTTTCGTGAGGGATGGTTGCTCACTGTCCGGGCGTTCTTCTTCTCCTCACGAACTTCGCGTCGGGTCGGTCGTGTTGCGTTGCGGGCTACGGTGCCGGGGAGGGGGGGGGGGATATATATTTTCTATATATTGTGCATAGTGTCTATTTGTACAGGTGGGTTGGGGTAATTTGTTGTTGTTGTTCTGTTCTTGTTATTGAGGCACACGAAATTCGGGTTCTTGTTGAGCATTTTTTTAATTTTATTGTTGTGTTGTTGCAGCCGGGACAGCTGCGGGCTGTACAGGGGGGGGGGGGGGGGGGTGATGTAGAGGTGTTACGGGAGGGGGACACGCGGTTGTAGGGCGGTGGCCACAAACACGTCCGCTACGGCCACCACCCTGGGGGGCTGTGGGGGACGCTGTGATCCCTCCCAGCCCCACCCCTCAGTGAGGGACTGTATAAAAGGTGGGACCCGGAGAGCTGAGGGGCAGTTCGAATCAAGCAAGATGAAGAGCCAGTGAAGAAAGAAGATCGACTAGCCAGACCCTGGGACTCCTTTGGCCCGCTGTCCTTTTGAGGGCCGGGCAAAGCAAGCCAGGGTGCGAGACCAGAGCCGTGTGGGCCGATGACCTTCTAAGGGCCGGGCTCGTGGGGCTGGTGGTCGGGACCTGCGCCGAAGCTGGGCCAGGTCAGATAGCCTCCTGCGAGAGGACCAGGATTGAGGGAACCAGGGAGCTAGCGTGGGCTAAAGCTCGGGGAACGTTCCCTCTGTAGGGTACGGGTGAAGAGGCCGTTACCTTTTCAAGTATCAGATTCGCCACTGTAATTGAAGTCTGTAATAAATACGTGTTGCCTCCAAAGAACAGTCTCCGACGTCAATAAGGCGACTACACTTGCAATGTAAATATATTTATCCAAGAATATATCTTGGTTGCATTTTTTTTATCATACAACCAGAAAAACATGGTAAAAAAATGTTTTTTGGTAGGCCCTTGGCACGGTGCCTACTGTGCCTATTGGATAATACGGCCCTGGTGACCACCACCGCCAAGCCATATCTGGACAACACCTAAGAACACTGGTATTATGGAACGACATAAAAGCAAACAGTATTCCAATACTTGGCCCACATTAGTATCAAATACGTTTAATGATACTGTAATACAAACGGCGATTTCGAAACACCAAGAGGCACAATCGTGATCGACCGATTCTCCCATCATGCATTGCTTGGCACGTGACATCATAATCATAGATATTATGTCAAATATTTTGTATTTTCAATCTCTCATGTTGGCTACATACAGTGTGAAAGAAGTTCAACGTACATTCTTAATGCTTCATTGCTGTGTAGCACTTTGTATGAATTTCTTTGGTTTGTCATTTTGGCGACCCTGGTGCCAATTGCAAATCCAGGTATCTCTTCACCTGGTTAATCAAAATCTTGACTGATTTCTTGTATCACCAGTGGTCAAAATGTAAACTGTACAAGTACCGGTATGAACCCTATTTGTCCTGCAGCCAATATTCAGGAAGAGACACACACCCTCAATCGCACCCTCGCTCTCATGCACATACCCTCACGTTGACACCCTCACACTCGCTGACACTGGCGCACACACACACTCGCACTTATAAACCCTCATACACAGACACTCTCACACATCCTTACACTGACACACACTCGAGTACTCACACCCCCATAACAAACCCTCACACGCAAAATCATACTCACAGACAAACCCTCGCACACTCACACCAACACTGTTACACATTCACATCCTCTCAGCCTTACACAGCGACACGCCCGCTCAACACTCTCTCACACACACCACCATCGCCCCCCCCTATGGAATCATTGCTGTATAGGAATGGGAAATGTTCAAGAAAGTGCCAGTATAGTGTACCGTGTACGGGCAAATTTCCATCAACGCGTATCGCCATATCGCCACAACCTTAAACACAGTCACCATTATCCGACAATAAGTTTGCAAAAACAGATTACCGCGTGCTCTTCTGCCGTACGACATGCACCGCGTAGTGTCGCGGAAAACCCGGCTGGTTGATCACTGCTGATGATACACAAGCGGCACGTGAGCTCCGCGGGCACTCGGGTGGCCGTGGCGGAGAGGGTCGAAACCCAGGCGCGTGGCCACGGGGGCGACCTGCGCTCGCTGGTAAGACAGATTCCTCAGCTCCAGTGTGGCTTGCTTGATACCCTGATACCGCAGCAGTTGCATGCTGGAAATTACAAACACACGGTGCGCGTATTAGTTCGTCCAGCATTGGGTTCAAAGCAAGGCTGACGAGGCACAGAATGTCGAAACCGCTCTGCGGTTTTTCTCGTTTTTAACCAGTGCTGTTGAAACTAGGCACTCCCAGAAGGCCGTGTGGCCAATGGGATGTGTAAACAAAAACATGTATTTTTATAATTTTGTGATGAAGAGGGGCACAGCTCTTTGCCAATTAAGTCATTTGTAGGTAAGGGGCCGTCCATAAATGACGTCACGCGATTTTTGACTCCCCCCCTACTCCCCTTCGTCACACGGCGTCACAAAAAGTCAGATCCCCTCCTCAAATATGACGTCACAAAGCTCTGCCCCCCCCCAAAAAAAATAAAACATGCTTCAAATCGCTTTAAACTATTGTCATCGTAGTGCGTATTTAATGTGGCGCTGCACTCTGATGTTGTAGGAGACAACATTTATTGAAAAATCTATTTAATTAAGTAGAACGTGTTGTCTATATTTATTTAAAGTTGCGCATTTTTACGTGACGTCACATTTCTCAAACCCCCCCTCCTCGTCAGACATCGTCACAAATGTCTGACCCCCCCCCCCCCCCCCCCCCCAGGTGCGTAACGTCATTTATGGACGGCCCCTAAATTATCCGATTTTCAATTTGAACCTTGACGCCGGTACCCGGCCTGCTCTATTCAAATGACGTCGCCGGCTCATTAAATATCCCCTCTGAAGGAGGATGGTATAATTTTGATGGTTGATTAAGAAAAAACTGCAGTAATAACCAGGGCAGCCTGCCGGCTTGCAAACGCGAACCTCTGCAGCCAACGCGCTACCGCTGGGCTCCGTCCTTGTCCATCCCCCCCCCACCCCCACCTCCGTTTAGCACGGTTGGCTACGTACGGTGCACAAAAAGTTCAACGTACGTACATGCAAACGTATAAATGTAAGTTGTACATCTCTCAATCTAACTCGCCTTGAGCCTCCCGTATATCACGCGACTTCTGTGTGTCCACCCCCCCTCTGAACCCTCCCCGTCCCCTGTGGAAACGTTGCTCGTCCGCGCAAATCACTTCTGCCCGCTCCCCATCTCTTTTCTCTCCCTTCCCTCCGCTCCAATCGTCATCATCACCACCACCACCGTCTCTTCCCCGCACATCTTAGTCCGGTCATTCCCTTCTCCCCCACTTCCTTCCCAGCACTCCTTCACCGACAGGATCTAAACCCATAATAAACACATTTTCGCGTGTAATATCATTATTGCTAGTGCTACTAAATAATGGGTGTTAGAAACACAACACTTACCTTGGAGTTTGTTTGTCTCGCTTGGATCTGAGTACAACAAAAAAGTAAACATTTATTATGTAATGTGACATTGTTCGTAGGTACTGTACAGATTTATTTGGCCAACGCTGCCGCTGCTAAGTGCGTTTGCAGTGGTGCACCAGCACAGCTAACAACAACAACACCTCAACGCACTCGAGTGCTGGACCATCAAACCACACTTATCGCCGCTGCACGCTAAACTTCTATCCGGTGCAAACGAGGCAGGAACTGGGTGCATCAAACCCAGACGTGACAACGGCCGCATCGACTAAATACCAAACTCCCCGTGGGTACGCTTGGAAGTGATCGATGCCGTCATTGATTTGTCTTCAAGACTACAGCGCATGCCAACGTTACAGCGATTTGCAACTAATGTACAACACCAACCGGGCTGAAATGAGCTTAGCTTTTCAGTATGCAGTTTCCCGATGAGAACATAATAGGCTTCTGCCTTTTTGCAATCATACAGGGGGTGTCAAGATGTCCAAACACCAAATAAACACCTGTAGCGAGGCGCCAAGTCTGCATTAGCCACACAGGCTTGTGGTAAAACAGGCAAACAAATGTGTTAATAACACATTCTCCTGCGGAGGGAGGAACTGATAGGAACGTTGGGTTGCTCGGTCAATGGCCAGGGTCAACGGCGGCACCACGTGGTGTATTCCGCACAATATGCCCGACTGTGAGGGCGGGCACAAGCCGGCGTGAGTAGGTTAAACGTTGAGTTTTATAAGGGCACCACGGGGTGACCAGACCCTCCCCACCCAGCCCCACCCCTCCCACCCCCCACCCAGCCCCACCCTCCCCACCCAGCCCCTCCCCACCCTCCCCTCCCCACCCAGCCCGACCCCTCCCATTGTTTGGATGCACGACGGATGGACGGACACAATAATCCCCTGTGGGCTGGTGTAACCAGGAGGTTCCTACCAGTATAATGTACACATCGTTTGTGAAACTGATTGACCTACACCAGAGACAGCCTCCTTTATGGCCTCGTCTCAGCACCGGTGTTCGACCAAAGAATCCCAAAAGGTGAACAGCACAAAGGCAATTCAGGTATCAGAGCGTTAGTAACTCGGGGGTTGAGCAGTTGCATCTACGGGACCCTTTGATCTCGGTAAAATAAGGGGTCCCATAGGTATCCGGCTTCCCGTTCGCCTGCGCAAAGAGAACCGCTAACGGGGAGCGGAACCCACTGGGGCCCACCTGCCCTCGCGGCGGCAGCACATGACGTGGGCAAGGACGAGCGAGGCGAGCAGCGCGGCGCCGCAGGGCACGCCGAGCGCCAGCGCGAAGTCGCGAGCGAGGTGGCGCGCGGCGGCGGGAGCGGCGACGGCGTCCGGAGGGCTGAACTCCCCGAGCTCCTCGAGGCCCGTCCACCGCTCGGCCGGCACGGCCGCTCCTCCCCACCCCCTGGCCGCGCTCGCCTCTGCCGGTACATCGAGCTGGGTCGGAGAGGTCGGAGAGGGAGGAGAGCAAGAGGAGACGTAGGGTAGCGTGCTCGTTGCTGAGGTTCGCCGGTCAACGTCCGGCGTCCACCCTGGTGGCGGTCACTGCGGCGGCGCGGTGTTAACCGCAAGTGGCAATGCTACGCGCCGTCTGCTTTGCTCACTGTGGACGTTGACAATGCAGTGACGTCGCCCGTAAGAGTAGGCCATCGTGTGCCGGCATCTTGGTCCACATTTGCAAAATGTTAACAATTACACCGCTAAGTTATTCAATTCGTAGTTACATAGCAATGGTCGCCCCCCCATCTACTGCGGGAACTCGGCACGACCCTCCTGAAAAAGAGTTATGAAACTCAGGCTCTCCTGGGAAAACAAACGCAATAATAATAGTTGCTTACATGAGGTCTCTCAAGATGTACTGCATGGGAGGTGCGCCGTAAATAATAAGTGATCACGACGTTTATCGTGCTGGCGATGACGGTGGTGATGATGACGGTGACAGGCGAAGTGAAGCACCAGGTTACCAGCTGTGAGCGGCACCAGTCCACCTCCATGCCCACGGCTCTCAAGCGCAGGTCCACGTCCAGCCGCGGCGTATCCCCACGACGGCACGTGTCCCGGATCTCCTGGCGTCTCAATGCCACCAGCTGGGGAGGGAAGGACTGCGGACTCCCGGCTCGTACGTACAGGCTGCGCGCGGAGCACATTGTAAACACCATTCATTTCAATATTTGATCCCGATATCTTCGCCGTCATCATCATCGTTGGATATTTTTTACTGCGCCTCCGATGGGCTGCATCTCCGAGGCGCCCTGCTACAGTTTAGCCAAGGGGGACCCCCCCCCCCCCAGCGGCAGCTGTCCCTGTGCAGCACAGGGTGGTAACGCGGCCCGGCGGTAGCGTGTTCGCCGTTTGATGCCGAGGTTCACGGTTCAAATCCAGTAGCCGCCCTGATTATTACTACCGTACTAATACGACTACGTGCCATCTGCTTCACCCGCATTGGTCGTTAAAGATCCCCTGACGTCATTCGCAAGAGCAAATTTGCCAAATTCAGACATTGCACCGCAAATTACTCTATTGGGACTAGACACAGTAGCAACCATGGTCCCTGACTGGTTCACAAATGCCCCAGGTCACTCCTGCAAATGAGACTCATCCTGCTCTCTCGCATTCTCCCCTGAAACTTGAGCTCGTCGTGGGAATAGAGAAAATCAGGCGCTGTGTTTCACAAAGTCTGCAGTAGTTTTACAGTATGGGCCATGTGGGTAATTAACCAAAATTGCCGGCGCACGATGGCCGACTCTCTTTCGAATAACCTAAGATCTTTAACGTCTACTGCGGGTTAAGCAGACGGTTGAAGCACACACCACAGTATTAACCAGGGGCGGCCGCTAGGCTTGAACCGCGAACCTATGCTACGAGCTGCAAACGGGCTTACCTACCGCTCGGCCGCGTCAGTGGCCCGCAGGAGCGGGCCGCCCGCCCGCCCGCCCGCCAGTTGAGCGAATAAATAACTAAATAAAAGCGGCTGCGATGGAACGCACCCTTCGGCGTGGGCATGAGCGGAGGGCACGGGGACCCGGCCCCCTCTATCGGAGGGGGTGGCGGCGTCGAGAATGCGCAGGTCGACGGTCGGCCGCAGCCCCCACAGCCGGCGCAGCAGATTCACAAACTCCGTCCTTGAGCTGCCGTTCATGAACCGCTCCAGCTGCCAGTTGCGCAGGAAGAGCTCCACCTGGTATGGGAACGGAACTACACGCGGACCCAGGTATAATAATAATTATAATAATAATTATAAATTACATTTGACAATATCAAGAGACACTCTCCCGTGTGCGACTGTGGTTATGAACTCCAAACCGTGGACCATGTAACTTCGCTTTTATCTTCATTGGCCATACGACGGAAGGTTGGCACATTTGCCATTGGTGTCGCTCACATGGGATAAATTGCCTTATCTTCTTTTGGCACACCACGAGTAGGGTCAAGTTTATAATGTGAGAGAAAAATGACCAGGAACGGGAAGGGGTGCCAGAGCGAAAGTGCCCAAGAGAGGGACGAAGAGGAGGAGGAGGTCACGGGTCATGATGAGCAGCAGGAAGAAAAAGCAGAAGTGCAGAAAGGGGAGGACAGTTTCAGCTTTCAGTTTATTTTGGTATAGCCCTGTGAGCCATTCGGCTCTTGAATCGGGTGCAACCACAACAAACAAAAAAACGAACAAGAAAACATCTTAAAGTGACTATGTGTTGACTGTGCAAACAGAAAATCCATGAAAAAAAAACAACAAAATATTCCTGAAAAAAGCACTGTACACCAACGCTGTGTGCAAAAAATCCCAGTGGGATGCAAGTCAAACAACAACAACCACAAGACAACTTAGATTAAGGCCATCAGTCTAACTCCGTACTACAACAAAACAAACATGTCCAAACCAAAAAACTTTTAGAAATCACCAAAAAATAAAGCCATACTTGCAACGTAACAGTGATCATAGGGACTGTGACCGAATTTTTACAATAAACTACATAAATAACATGTAACACCAAATCCTAGAGCCATAGCTGGCTACATGAGTTACTCCACAAAAACAGAAGCATCAGTCGGAGTATTACATTTTTCAATGCACCTTCAAGATCAGCACGCCAAATCAAAATGCAGATAATACTTTGCAGCGTCATCCGGAGCGAAAACATTTTATTTTACGCCAATGAATAGCAGTGGCAGCTAGGGGTGTACAACTCCTCTAGAGCAGTTTTGAGAGAAGATCTCATTGGTAGCGATTCAAGTTGCAGTTTATTGGCAATAGCATTCCAGACCCTTGGGGCATCAATAGCAAAGGCCCTTCCTCCAGTTTTTGTACGGCAATAGGGAATGTGAAGCTGGTAAATGAGCAAAGACCTGAGGTCAAATTTGTTCTTTGAAACAGAGAGGAGATCCAGCAGGTAGTCTGCGGATTTTTTTGTAAGTACATCGTGAATAAAAAAGATCTGGTGCACAAGCCGTCGAACATTAAGAGATGTTAAGTTTGACCCAATGTAGAGATCACAGTGGTGAGTCCTATATGGGCAGTTCAATGTAAATCTTAAGGCCGAGTGATAGATGGAATCAAGCTTCTTCAGTACAGTACTTGGGGCTGACACGATGTCACAGTAGTCAAGTAGAGGCAGTATGGTAGCTTTTATCAATTCCAAACGGAACATTGGGGGGAAGCAGTGATTGTGTCAATGCAGAAAACCAATTTATATTTTTGTCTTTTTACCAATATAATCAATGTGATCTTCAAAATTCAGTTTTGAATCCAGGATGACCCCAAGATACTTATAGATCTTGACTTGCACTATTTGATAATTATTTAAGGACTGTCATTGGGGAAAAATAACTCTCTGCTTTAGTCCTGGTGAGAAGCATAGCACCTTGGTTTTGGAGGGATTCAGGACTAGTTTAAGAGCAACTAGCTGATGTTGTAGTTTGTTAAAATCACCCTGTAGCTTAGCAATCACATCATCTGGAGAGCGGCCAGCAGTAATCAGTATTGTGTCATCTGCAAAAAGATTTACCTTGGAATGATCCAGGTCAGTGCCCAAATCATTGACATAAAGATAGAATAAAAGGGGGACGAGGATGGAACCCTGTGGAACCCCTTTTGTTATCTTAACACTGTTTGACCTCCAACCATCTGTGAATACAGTTTGGGTGTGAGAAAAGAGGTAATTTTGTAACCATTTTACTGCGTTTTCGGAAAAACCGAGGCAACTTAGTTTACTAACCAGGGTGTTGTGGTTTACTGTATCAAAAGCTTTGGACAGGTCTAGAAAAAGACAGGCACAGTACTGCTTATTATCAAGGCTACTGTAAATGTGATTCAGAGAGTCTAATGCAGCAAATGTGGTGCTGTATTTTTTTCGGAACCCAGATTGTTTTAGATGTAGTAGATTGTTGAACAGGAAACTGCTAATTTGGTAGGTCAATAATTTTTCAAAAATTTTCATCAACGGGGACAAAATTGAGATAGGTCGGTAGTTATTTGGATCATCATTAGGGCCCCCTTTGTGAAGTGGACAACCATAGGAATATTTCCATTCTAGAGGAACTGATGCTTCTTTGATGGACAGGTTAAAAATATGGGCTATGGGTTTGTATATTAGGTGACCAACAGTTAGTAGAGCAAAGACGGGAATACTATCTGCTCCGGTAGAGGAGGACCCTTTGAGGTAGGACAGTTGTTTCAGAACATTACTTTCGTGGATTGGCTGGAAACTTAATTCGTTTAATGTTTGGACAGCGGTGTAGGAATTTGCATGAGCAGGGGTGACTTCCAATACAGTACATTATCAAAAAGATTACCAGCTTCAGAAAAATGAAGGTTAAAATTGTCAACTATTTTTTGGGGATCTGAAAAATATTCCCCATTTCAGTTAAGCTCAACGGGCAGATTGTCTGTTTTGGATGCCTTTTCGATAGATTTGATTGTTTTCTAGAAAATCCTGGCATTTCCATGTGATTCCAGGAGAGTGGAGGAAAAGTAGGCATTTTTTGCATGCCGTATTTTTTTGACGCATCTATTCCTTAAAATCCTGTATTCTAGCCAGTCATTGACCAAATTACTTTTCTGAGCACATGCCCAAGCCTTGTCCCTAGTTTTCATGAGCTTTGTAATCAAAGGATCAAACCATGGTTGGCGGTTGCCTTTAGTTTTAAATATAACCAACGGAGCATGTTTGTTAAGAATTTGGAGAAACGTGTACCTGAAGGTCTCCCAAAGTCATAGTCAGGTTGGGGATATCACAGACCTTGTCAATATCCGAGTGAAGCACATCATTAGTAAATGCCTGAGTGCTGAAGTGTCTCATAGAGTGCTTCTCAACCAATTTAGGGGGGGCTTTGGGTCTGGCTGATGATCTCACCCCAAAAATGAAGGAGTGATCACTAAGGTTATTACCTAGAACACCAGTCAGTGTGAAATTGTGAGGGGCATTTGTCAATAGGACGTCAAGCAGAGATGACTGTCCCGGATTTTTTATGTTGGGTCTTGTGGGGACATTTATTAATTGAAACAGATTAAATTCATCTGCAAAATTTGTGGCCACGGCCGGCGGGTTTAGCCAATTCCAATTTATATCACCCAATAAAACTATTTCACCTTTAGGGAGGCCCCCAAAAAGCTCTCTCAGTGCAGATGCAGCTTCAACATCCTTCCCACTAGGCGGTCGATAGCAGCACACTCCCAATATCTATTGATTATTTGGGAGAGTTATTCTGAGAGCCAGACCTTCAAAGCAACATTTTTTAAACATGGAGTGAGCTAGTGAACATGCAATAGTATCACGAATATAGATGGCAATTCCACCTCCTTTAGATCCTCGGTCAAGCCGAAAAAGGTTGTAGTTGTCAATCGCAATCTGCAAGTCATTGACGGCAGGAGTGAGAAATGTTTCTGTTAGGCAAAAATTGTCCGGGTCAAGATTTGCCAATTCTAGTTTTAGTTGACTTAATTTAATCACAAGCCCTCTGATGTTGACATGTAGAACACCAACACCTTTTCTGCAAGAAAAATCTACAGAATTATACGAGTTCTTTACATTTGGGCCAGGATGAAGCTCAATACCACCCAGAAATAAGAAAAGTAGAATTAATAGTTTGCACAAGTATTTTCTGTGAAAGAATGAAGAGCGGCGAACCTTGGACGAATAGCTGTAGCTCGCAGATGGTGTTATTTTTAAGAGCAGAATGAAGTTTGAAAGGAATGCTGAAGTAATGGGACAAAGATAGGGTTTAAAAGGATACAATGATGGAGTGTAGACGTGTCTATGAGCTGTTTCATTAGCAGGTGTAGTGGCAAATCGAGCAACAAGTATGGATGCAAAGTAACGAGGGTAGCTGTTTGTAGAGTTGAGTGTGGCACTAGATATGGCTGGGAGGGACAGCAGTAGGATACACAGCAGGAGAATTGCCATCTCTAAAATATCCGGGGTAAACACAGATTAACTCACAAGCGGAAAAGAAAAAATATATATACTTGTAGGCCGAGCGCGAGAAAACGTCTTGCCACACTCGTCACACATGCACGGCTTCTCGCCCATGTGCTAGGGTTGAACAGCGCGCCCCCCCCCCCCCACCCCGAGACAGCAGATTTTTGTCTGTTGTGGGCTCGGCAGAACCGCTTGCACCACCTCCTTTCCCTGCCGCAGGATGGTGCTCGAGCTAGCCCTCCTTGAGCTCAGCCCACAACTGGAATGTCATTTCTTGGCCTCTCGTGTCTCTGCTGCCCGACCAGATGACCCCACTGAAGCCCACACAGGGGACTCTTCATTCACGACCCTTGGCCGTCTTGACGATCTCCGTGAAGTTTTCCAGGAACACAGCTTGGGGTCCGTGGCAATGTTGCCTTGGCAGGAACACAGCTTGGGGTCCGTCGCAATGTTGCCTTGGCAGGAACACAGCTTGGGGTCCGTGGCAACATTGCCTTGGCAGGAACACAGCTTGGGGTCCGTGGCAATGTTGCCTTGGCAGGAACACAGCTTGGGGTCCGTGGCAATCCCGCCTTGGCAGGAACACAGCTTGGGGTCCATCGCACTATTAACTAGGCCTCACTCAGGCTGCGCCATGGGCGCAATCAACCAGGCCTCACTCAGGCTGCGCCAGGTGCACGATTTACTAGGCCTCACTCAGGCTGCGCCAGGTGCACTGTCAACCAGGTCTCACTCAGGCTGCGCCTTGTGCATGATTAACCAGGCCTCTCTCAGGCTATGCCAGGTGCACGATCCACCAGGCCTCACCCAGGCAGTGTCATGTGCACTACCAGGCCTCACTCAGGCCGTGCCACGTGTATGACCAACTAAGCCTCACTCAGGCTGCGCCTTGTGCATTATTTACTAGGCCTCACTCAGGCTGCGCCAGGTGCACGATTAGCTAGGCCTCACTCAGGCAGTGTCATGTGCACAAATTACTAGGCCTCACTCAGGCTGCGCCATGTGCGCGATTAATTAGGCCTCATGGCTGCGCCACGTGTATGATTTACTAGGCCTCACTCAGGCAGCGCCAGGTGCACGATCAGCTAGGCCTCACCCAGGCTGCACCACATGCACGATTTACTAGGCCTCACTCAGGCTGCGCCAGGTGCACAATCAGCCAGGCCTCACTCAGGCTGCGCCACGTGCACTATTAAATAGGCATCATTCAGGCTGCGCCAGGTGCACGATTAACCAGGTCTCACTCAGGCTGTGCCAGGTGTACGATTTACTTGGCCTCACTCAGGCTGTGTCATGTGCAGTACTACCTAGGCCTCACTCAGGCTGCGCCAGGTGCACGATCAGCCCGGACGAGGGGGGCGACAGAATGACTGGGCCGAGATGTCCGGAGATCAGCAGGTGGTGATGATGATAGGGGAAGGAAGAGAGGGATAAGAGACGAGAGAAGGAAGGAGTGAGCAGAAGTGAGCTGCGTGTAGGAGCAACATCTGTTTTCACACGAGGCGGCGGGCAGAGGTGAGTGGCCACACATACGTCTCCTTGATTTGTGGGAGGCTCGAGCTGATTTAGATTTGACGTATGTGTAATGTGAAGGCTCACCTGTAGAATTACGAACTTTAAATTCGATGGTGTGTCTGGCAGTACCATAAAGCCTCCTGTTGTACCCTATAACCTGTGAAGCAAATAAAATATATAAAAATGTGGGGAGCGGTGGTGCAGCGGTGGGCACATTGCACATACAACTCTAGGCAAATGGGTCATATTCCCAGCCACAGCTAACATCAGTGGCGACGGATATCTGAACCGGCCACCCAATGATCGGTGAGGTGAAATATGGTCAAACATCCCCCATGGTCGACACAGTATGGGGTCACTTTAATGCAGCATAGATCACAAATATGCACTCAATAAACAAACTCCTTCATAAGCAGGTGAGAGCCCTTAGACGTAATGTCACTTTATCAAGGTAGTCCAAGATTGAATACAGTGCTGTACAATGTTAAATACAAGGGAGCTGCCCTGCAATTGCTTGCTCACGCCACTGCTGACAGAATGGGCCTACCTTGGAAAAGAGGCAATATATTGGGTGTCTAAACTGGCCTAGGTTTCATCTCATTAAATCCTGTACACCACATGACAATTCAATTTGTTTGGCCATGTTGGGTGTGGGAGGGTTCTTAACGACAAAAACGAGGCTGGATCATTTACGAACCTGGAAGGGGAGAGGAGGGGGGGGGGTTCCTTACCCCAAAAAAAACCCATTTAATAATAACTTAATTATAGCGTCCGTCATTATGACGTTACCTCCAGCACGGTCGTGCCAGCGTGGGCCGGGTTGAGGGGGCCGTAGAGGACCGCGTCACTCTGCTGGGTTCTCTGCAGGTAGCGTAGCCACTGCGGTCTGTCGGGCGACCCGGCCGCGCTCACGCGGAATGTCACTGGGTCATCTGCACACACGGCGCAAGCACGCGGAGTGGTTCGCTAAAGTCCTAGGAGGCACGCGGTACGGAAAATTATCTTAAAAGGGTTCATCGTGAAATCCGGCAGGTCACGATTGTGGTACGATCCCAAATGTCGGAAGGGACAACAGATCTTCTTTGGTTCTTTCAGTAAAGTGACGTATTTTAGTCTCATTCTACGTGACTTTACCGAAAGAACCAAAGAAGATGAATCCTTGCAGTCACGAAAGCTTTAAATCGAAAAGGACAACAGATCGTAAGTGAAAGTAAAATATGGGCCTCGGAGTTGCATCATAACTTTTGGAAATTAAATTGGCCACGCCACGTACATCCCGACATATTGTCCAGAAACCATCTCGGTAAACATGCAGCGTTGGCATTTGGTGGTTGGACAGCCCGACGTTCCATGTTTACTCGCCATGTGGCGGGGGATGGTCCATCATGTGGCCAGCCCTTGAGTCGAGGAAGGGCCGCGAACGGGAAACGGAAAGAAAAAGGAGACTCACTGCTTCTGGAATCGGGAATCGATGTCAGGTAGTCGGCTCTTTTCAGCGTGTAGTAAAACAGACTGTTGGCTTCAATGTTGTGCAGCACCTCCATGCTTGACACACACGTAACCAGCCAACCTATGAAGAGATGACCGCGTGAGTTAGGAGTGAACGTGAACACCACCGATAACACGTGTTTGCATAATTGGTCTGGAAAGCGAAGAGGCCGATGGGCCAAAAAAAAACAAACCCATTGCATTCATATCCACATCAGACGTTGCACCCGTGGCACCACACCACGGGAAGGAGAGTTGAGTCGGTTGCGCAAAAGGGCAGTAGCCAGGGGAAGGGAGCAAGGTTGAAAGGGAAAGGATACTGGCACGGAAGTCCCTAAGACAGTCAACGAGGTGGGGGCACGGCTCAAGGTGAACAGCAGGAAGAAAGGTGCGATAGGCAGGAATGGGACGAGGGGGAGAAAGAATAACTGGGCCAAGATGTCAGGGGTTGGGAGGGTGGTGATGATGAGAGGGTGGTGATGATGAGAGGGTGGTGATGATGAGAGGGTGGTGATGATGATGAAGAGGGTGATGATGATGAAGAGGGTGGTGATTGATGGATTACAGGGTGGTGATGATGAGAGGGTGGTGATGAGAGTGGTGATGATGATGAGAGGGTGGTGATGATGAGAGGGTGGTGATGATGATGAGAGGGTGGTGATGATGAAGAGGGTGGTGATGATGAGAGTGTGGTGGTGATGATGAGAGTGATGATGATGAGGCTGGTGATGATGAGAGGGTGGTGATGATGAAGAGGGTGGTGATGATGAGAGGGTGGTGATGAAGAGGGTGGTGATGATGAGAGGGTGGTGATGATGAGAGGGTGGTGATGAAGAGGGTGATGATGAGAGGGTGGTGATGATGAGAGGGTGGTGATGAAGAGGGTGATGATGAGGGTGGTGATTGATGGATTACAGGATGGTGATGATGAGAGGGTGGTGATGATGAGAGGGTGGTGATGATGAAGAGGGTGATGATGATGAGGGTGGTGATTGATGGATTACAGGGTGGTGATAATGAGAGGGCGGTGATGGATGAGAGGGGAGGAGCGGTGTGCGTTGCATGCTGGAGCGGCGGGGATAGGGGAGGGATGTGGAGTGGTGGTGGCCACATCACAAGCCATGCGATTTATGGGAGGCTTGATCTAACGTAGATTTAGAGATGCGGAGACACAGAACGGAGTTCGACTTATGCAATTCTGCGTAAGTTTGTATCTAAGGTGTTTCCACAAGGCAGTGAGTGCAGTGTTGGTTTTCATTTGCGTTCTATATTGTGACCCAGAGTGTTGACATGGGAGTGCAGTTGCCACGGAGAGCTGGGCACGTCAAAGGATCGTTTTGCAAGATCGCGGTCCGATTGCCCCGCTAAAATTACTCATTTGGGATTGCAGAGTGGCGGCAGCAGCGATCACCTCAAGGCACTTGTTATTATTACTTACACGCTTTTATTTAACTCACACTGTCTGTTGTCGTTGTATCATCAAATCTTGTAACTCAATTTTAACCCCATTCCCAATGTGGTATCGACTGCAAACTTGGTTATACTTATGTCATACTGATGACAATAATATATTCTATCATTAAAAATATATATTTTTAAACAATCTTTTTTACATGTTATGTTTCGGCTTGGGTCTAATTGTCCACGGTCCCCTTATGTTGTGGCAAGCTTTGGGGCCACTTCCTGGAGTCGTGGAGTTCTTCCATTACTAGTACGGTACATTTCATTAAAGCTTGTTTTTAAAAAAAAGGTTTTTTTAAATATATTACTTGTTTTTCAGGAGGTTCCTGCCAAGTTTTCGCCGGAGGGACGGGATGTTGCTGCTGTTGATGTGTGTAATCCCAACAGAGTGATTTGCAGGTTATATTTCAGAATTGGAACGATTGGCCAAGATCAGTTGTGGACAATAGGGGCCGTCCATAAATTACGTCACGCACCTAGGGGGAAGGGGGGTCAGACATTCGTGACGATGTGTGACGACGGGGGGGGGGGGTTTGATCAAAATGCGCAACTTTAAATAAATATAGACAACACGTTCTACTTAATTAAAAATACTTTTTAATAGATGTTTTCTCCTACAACATCAGAGTACAGCGCCACATTAAATATGCACTACAATGACAATAGTTTAGAGTGATTTGAAGCATGTTTTATATTTTTTTGGGGGGGGAGGGCAGAGCTTTGTGACGTCATATTTGAGGGGGGAGGGGGTCTGACTTTTTGTGACGCCGTGACGAGGGGGGGGAGGTCAAAAATCGTCCAAAATCGCGTGACGTCATTTATGGACAGCCCCTTACTGCACTGTACCATGGTTTTTTAAACCTATAAGCGGAAACTGGGGGATACTCCATGCGGAACAGAGGGAGGGAGGGGGGAACGTTGGTTTTAAACTCCACACACTCTCAGTCACTCACTCACATAAAGACAAAGATCCCCTACCGTGTAGCCTTCAGCAGGCTGTTTGGAACAAGTCGCTCACTCACATAAAGACTAAGATCCCCTACCGTGTAGCCTTCAGCAGGCTGTTTGGAACAAGTCGCTCACTCACATAAAGACAAAGATCCCCTACCGTGTAGCCTTCAGCAGGCTGTTTGGAGCAAGTCGCTCACTCACATAAAGACTAAGATCCCCTACCGTGTGGCCTTCAGCAGGCTGTTTGGAACAAGTCACTCACTCACATAAAGACTAAGATCGCCTACCGTGTAACCTTCAGCAGGCTGTTTGGAACAAGTCGCTCACTCACATAAAGACTAAGATCCCCTACCGTGTGGCCTTCAGCAGGCTGTTTGGAACAAGTCGCTCACTCACATAAAGACGAAGATCCCCTACCGTGTAGCCTTCAGCAGGCTGTTTGGAACAAGTCGCTCACTCACGTAAAGACCTAAAGATCCCCTACCGTGTAGCCTTCAGCAGGCTGTTTGGAGCAAGTCGCTCACTCACGTAAAGACTAAGATCCCCTACCGTGTAACCTTCAGCAGGCTGTTTGGAACAAGTCGCTCACTCGCATAAAGACTAAGATCCCCTACCGTGTAGCCTTCAGCAGGCTGTTTGGAGCAAGTCGCTCACTCACATAAAGACACAGATCCCCTACCGTGTAACCTTCAGCAGGCTGTTTGGAACAAGTCACTCACATAAAGACTAAGATCCCCTACAGTGTAGCCTTCAGCAGGCTGTTTGGAACAAGTCGCTCACTCACATAAAGACACAGATCCCCTACCGTGTAGCCTTCAGCAGGCTGTTTGGAACAAGTCGCTCACATAAAGACAAAGATCCCCTACCGTGTAACCTTCAGCAGGCTGTTTGGAACAAGTCGCTCGCTCACATAAAGACTAAGATCCCCTACAGTGTAGCCTTCAGCAGGCTGTTTGGAACAAGTCGCTCACTCACATAAAGACACAGATCCCCTACCGTGTAGCCTTCAGCAGGCTGTTTGGAACAAGTCGCTCACATAAAGACAAAGATCCCCTACCGTGTAACCTTCAGCAGGCTGTTTGGAACAAGTCGCTCGCTCACGTAAAGACTAAGATCCCCTACCGTGTAGCCTTCAGCAGGCTGTTTGGAACAAGTCGCTTACTCACATAAAGACTAAGATCCCCTAAAGTGTAACCTTCAGCAGGCTGTTTGGAACAAGTCACTCACTCACTTAAACACAAAGATCCCCTACCGTGTAACCTTCAGCAGGCTGTTTGGAACAAGTCACTCACATAAAGACTAAGATCCCCTACCGTGTAGCCTTCAGCAGGCTGTTTGGAACAAGTCGCTATCAGCGAGCAGCGCGCCTATGAAGCCCGTCATGGCAACACGAGAACGGCGCGGTTCGTGCGCGGCCAACAGCAACCACCGCGCCCGGCCGCCTTTGTCTCCCCAGTGCCGAAGTTCACACACAGTCAGCGGGTACAGTGGTTATTTATGACCGAGGCGACCTAGGGGAACGGGGTGGTTCGTACGCTACGTAGGTGCGTTTTTTCCTGGAAGACTTAGTAGTTTTTTTCCCTGGATTTTTCTGTTTGCGCGTAGTCACTTTAAGATGTTTTATTGTTCATGTTTTTTTGTTTGTTGCGGTTGCACCTAAATCAAGAGCCGAATGGCTCACAGGGCTCGACCAAATTAATTAAACTGAAATAAATGAAATTGAAAGGTGCGCGCACACGTTCTGCAGAACACATCATACAAACTCAACAGAGACGGAGAGAGAGTGAGGGAGACGGAGAGAGAGAGACGGAAAGAGAGAGTAAGAGACGAGGAGAGAGAGACTGAGAGACGGAGTGAGAGGACGAGGAGAGAGAGACTGAGAGACGGAGTGAGAGAAAGAAAGAGTGAGAGACGGAGTGTTCCTGCACGCCGCCCCTGCACCGGCCTGGAGCGTCACGGCCTCCTTCCTCCTTAAACAGCTGGGGGGTCTGCAGTGCTCCAAGCAACTATTCTACATGGACCTGCAGGGCCTCCCACTGGGACAGCTGCCACCCTTCTACAGAAGCGTCCTGCAGACATGGAGCTCCCTCGCCGTCAGGAGGCCGAGGATCTGGTCTTCGAACCGATCCTCAGGAACCCACAGACAAAGCTGTCATCCACCACCACCACCCCTGGCATGGAGAGGCGCCTCACCAACGCGCGGCTCACCAGGATGGGAGATCTGGTGGAGCCTGAAACACTGGGCCGGTGGCTCGGACCAGCAGACGTAGCCGCAAAGAAAGGGCTGCAGTCGCTCCGGGTGGCTGCCCGGATCCTGGCCGAAGCCAAGGGGGCCTTCTCAGCGCAGCGGGGAGAACGCCCCCCATCGGCGTTGGGGATGACGAGGCCCCTCTCCAATCGGAGCTCTCAGTCGTGCCACTGCATCGCCAATGCCGACAAACGAAGGCGGATCACAACCTGTGTCGGCTAGAAGACTTACCGGAGGTGGCCTTCGCAAATGTAAAGAGGAAGGTGCTCTACTCCTACATGGTCCGGTTCCACCAACAGGACACCCTGAGGAGGCAACTCTACTGCAGACCGACGTACAACCGCATCGGCGACCTCAACTGGAGCATCGCCCACGGCACCGTCACCACCGTCTCCCTGGCGCGCTTCACCGACACGTCCCCGGAGTGCCGGTTCTGCGGTAAAGCGGAGACGGTGGCGCACCAATACGTGGAGTGCAAGAGCCTGAACTCGCTGTTCAAGGTCCTGAGAAACATCCTCCTAAGGTTCAGCCTCCACTTCTCCCCGACGGTCCTCATCTTTGGATACCCGAAGGGCGACGGACCCCAACATCTTCAGGGGCTGGTCAACGTGCTCTTCGGCTATGCCAAGCTCGCCATATACAGGGCGAGGATGGTGGCCCTGGAGGGGCAACGTCCAGCCAGCAGCCTGGGCATCTTCCGCGCTCTGGTCGGAGCCAGGGTGTGGCCGGAGTTCCGCCACGCGCGGCTGACCCACGCCGTGCCGGCCTTCAAGGAGCAGTGGGCGCTGGAGGAGGCCGTGTGCTCGGTGGCAGATGACGGTAGAGAGCTCTGCATGCAGATCTAAGCTGCCCGTCGGAGGCCGTTTGACTGTGGGAAGGGCTGAGTGCAGATGCAGCACTTGTCGTAGTTATAAAGAAAAAAGAGAGCGAGAGAGAGCCAAATGGAGTAGGAAGAGAGGCGGCAGAGAGAAAGGGGGGGGGGCGGAGAGGGGGTAGAGAGGAGAGGCAGAGAGGGGGGTGGAGAGAGAGGGGGGGCAGAGAGGGGGGTAGAGAGAGAGGGAAGGGGAAAGAAAAAAGAAAAAAAATGTTGGGTCTTTCATTTAAAAGGGGGGGGGGGGGGTTACATAAAGCAAAGCATTAAAAAAAAACGAAATGATGAACGGAGCAAAGTGCCGACTACACCGAGCATCTTCTTGTTTCTTCTGATCGTAAAAAAAGAGAGAGAGACGGAGTGAGAGACTGAGAGACGGAGTGAGAGAGAGACTGAGAGACGGAGTGAGAGACTGAGAGACGGAGTGAGAGAGACAGAAAGAGTGAGAGACGGAGTGAGAGAGACAGAAAGAGAGACTGAGAGACGGAGTGAGAGACAGAGAAAGAGTGAGAGACGGGGAGAGAGAGACAGAAAGAGAGAGTGAGAGACGGGGAGAGAGAGACAGAGAGTGAGAGACAGAGAGTGAGAGACAGAAAGAGAGAGTGAGAGACGGAGTGAGAGAGACAGAAAGAGAGAGTGAGAGACGGGGAGAGACAGAAAGAGAGACTGAGAGACGGAGTGAGAGAGACAGAAAGAGTGAGAGACGGAGTGAGAGAGACGGAGTGAGAGAGACAGAAAGAGTGAGAGACGGAGTGAGAGAGACAGAAAGAGAGGGTGAGAGACAGAAAGAGAGAGTGAGAGACGGAGTGAGAGAGACAGAGTGAGAGACTGAGTGAGAGAGACAGAAAGAGAGAGTGAGAGACGGAGTGAGAGGACAGAGAGAGTGAGAGACTGAGAGAGACAGAAAGAGAGAGTGAGAGACGGAGTGAGAGAGACAGAAAGAGAGAGTGAGAGACGGGGAGAGAGAGACAGAGAGAGTGAGAGACGGGGAGAGAGAGACAGAGAGTGAGAGACTGAGAGACAGAAAGAGAGAGTGAGAGACGGAGTGAGAGAGACAGAGAGAGTGAGAGACGGGGAGAGAGAGACAGAGAGTGAGAGACTGAGAGTGAGAGACAGAAAGAGAGAGTGAGAGACGGTGTGAGAGAGACAGAAAGAGAGAGTGAGAGACGGGGAGAGAGAGACTGAGAGACGGAGTGAGAGAGACAGAAAGAGAGAGTGGCTCCCTCGGTTCGGGGAATTCGAACCCCGGGTGGCTCCTTCAAGCGCTGCCGCTAGAAGCTCGCCCCAAGCTGCGGCCGAAGCTTCAACAGCGGCCACGTCGCTTACCAACACAAAGCAGCAACTCCCGCCGTGCGCCCTCTAAACTAAAGTGTGGACAAGGAGAGATGGAGAGAGATAAAGTGGTGGGGGGATGGTGAGCACCCACATCCCAGCCAGCGGGGGTGGTGAACTCACTCGTGCAGAGGAGCGCGACTCGCATCTTCTCGCAGGCCCACGGACTCGGCAGCGTCCAACGTCGGCCACCGACAGAAAAAAAACCCTAAACGGTGACGACTTCTAAACGAGAAACTGATGCAACTTTTCCCTCACAAAAACGTTAATTTTTTGTTTTAAAATGTTTTTTTTTTAAATGTCACCCGCCCGCCTCAAACTTCGACTTCGTCTGCTCGCGAGCCCGAGACGGACCGCGCGAGGTGTAACGCGGAATTTGGCGCCAAAATTGTTTTAGTTTTTGTGCTTAAAAGTAAAAAAGAAATTTAACCGTTAGAAGTTACGCTTGCGACGTAGCGGAGATGAAACAATAACAACAACAAACGAAAGAGGCAACAGCTGAGTAATGCGAATCGATTCTTGATTTTATTTTTAAAAATGTAAAGGAGTCGTTGAATCGTGGCTAGCGCCATTCATAAACATTCCTCACGGGGCGCGCCCACAGTCAGGGACCATCGATCACCGGCCGTGGTCAATCCACTGCTAGATGAAGACCTCCTGAAGCTCTCACCAACTCTCATCATCATCGTCGTCAGCCATGGTCAATCTACTGCTGGATGAATACCTCAAGTTCTCACCAACTCTCATCATCATCGTCAGCCATGGTCAATCCACTGCTGGTTGAAGACCTCAAGCTCTCACCAACTCTCATCATCGTCGTCAGCCATGGTCAATCCACTGCTAGATGAAGACCTCAAGCTCTCACCAACTCTCATCGTCGTCAGCCATGGTCAATCCACTGCTGGATGAAGACCTCAAGCTCTCACCAACTCTCATCATCATCGTCGTCAGCCATGGTCAATCGACTGCTGGATGAAGACCTCCTCAAGCTCTCACCAACTCTCATCATCGTCATCATCGTCAGCCATGGTCAATCCACTGCTAGATGAAGACCTCCTGAAGCTCTCACCAACTCTCATCATTATCGTCGTCAGCCATGGTCAATCCACTGCTAGATGAAGATCTCCTCAAGCTCTCACCAACTCTCATCATCATCGTCAGCCATGGTCAATCTACTGCTGGATGAATACCTCCTCAAGTTCTCACCAACTCTCATCATCATCGTCAGCCATGGTCAATCCACTGCTAGATGAAGACCTCAAGCTCTCACCAACTCTCATCATCATCGTCAGCCATGGTCAATCTACTGCTGGATGAAGACCTCCTGAAGCTCTCACCAACTCTCATCATCATCATCATCGTCAGCCATGGTCAATCCACTGCTAGATGAAGACCTCAAGCTCTCACCAACTCTCATCATCATCATCAGCCATGGTCAATCCACTGCTAGATGAAGACCTCCTGAAGCTCACCAACTCTCATCGTCAGCCATGGGCTATCCACTGCTGGATGAAGACCTCCTGAAGCTCTCACCAACTCTCATCATCATCGTCAGCCATGGTCAATCCACTGCTGGTTGAAGACCTCAAGCTCTCACCAACTCTCATCATCGTCGTCAGCCATGGTCAATCCACTGCTAGATGAAGACCTCAAGCTCTCACCAACTCTCATCGTCGTCAGCCATGGTCAATCCACTGCTGGATGAAGACCTCAAGCTCTCACCAACTCTCATCATCATCGTCGTCAGCCATGGTCAATCGACTGCTGGATGAAGACCTCCTCAAGCTCTCACCAACTCTCATCATCGTCATCATCGTCAGCCATGGTCAATCCACTGCTAGATGAAGACCTCCTGAAGCTCTCACCAACTCTCATCATTATCGTCGTCAGCCATGGTCAATCCACTGCTAGATGAAGATCTCCTCAAGCTCTCACCAACTCTCATCATCATCGTCAGCCATGGTCAATCTACTGCTGGATGAATACCTCCTCAAGTTCTCACCAACTCTCATCATCATCGTCAGCCATGGTCAATCCACTGCTAGATGAAGACCTCAAGCTCTCACCAACTCTCATCATCATCGTCAGCCATGGTCAATCTACTGCTGGATGAAGACCTCCTGAAGCTCTCACCAACTCTCATCATCATCATCATCGTCAGCCATGGTCAATCCACTGCTAGATGAAGACCTCAAGCTCTCACCAACTCTCATCATCATCATCAGCCATGGTCAATCCACTGCTAGATGAAGACCTCCTGAAGCTCACCAACTCTCATCGTCAGCCATGGGCTATCCACTGCTGGATGAAGACCTCCTGAAGCTCTCACCAACTCTCATCATCATCGTCAGCCATGGTCAATCTACTGCTGGATGAAGACCTCCTCAAGCTCTCACCAACTCTCATCATCATCGTCAGCCATGGGCAATCCACTGCTGGATTAGTTTTTTTGTTTATTTTGTTTTGGTATAGCCCTGTGAGCCATTCGGCTCTTGAATCGGGTGCAACCACAACAAACAAAAAAAACACGAACAAGAAAAACATCTTAAAGTGACTTTGTGACTGTGCAAACAGAAAATCCATGGAAAAAATCAGCAAAATATTTCTGAAGAAAGCACCGTACTAGGTACCAACGCTGTGTGCAAAAAATCCCAGTGGGATGCAAATCAAACAACAACAACAACCACAAGACAACTTAGATTAAGGCCATCGGTCTAACTTCGTACTACAACAAAACAAACATGTGCAAACCAAAAAACTTTTCGAAATCACCAAAAAATAAAGCCATAAATGCAACGTAACAGTGATCACAAGGACTGTGACCGAATTTTTTACAATAAACTACATAAATAACATGTAACACCAAATCCTAGAGCAATAGCTGGCTGCATGAGTTACTCCACAACAACAGAAGCATCGGTCGGAGTATCAATTTTTTCAATGCACCTTTAAGATCAGCACGCTAAATCAAAATACAGATAATACTTTGCAGCGTCATCCGGAGCGAAACATTTTATTTTATTTAACGCCAATGAATAGCAGTGGCAGCTAGGGGTGTACAACTCCTCTAGAGCAGTGTTGAGGGAAGATCTCATTGGTAGCGATTCAAGTTGCAGTTTATTGGCAATAGAATTCCAGACCCTGGGGGCATCAATAGCAAAGGCCCTTCCTCTAGTTTTTGTACGGCAATAGGGAATGTGAAGCTGGTAAATGAGCGAAGACCTGAGGTCAAATTTGTTCTTTGAAACAGAGAGGAGATCCAGCAGGTAGTCTGCGGATTTTTTTGTAAGTACATCGTGAATAAATAAGATCTGGTGCACAAGCCGTCGAACATGAATAGATGTTAAGTTTGACCCAATGTAGAGATCACAGTGGTGAGTCCTATATGGGCAGTTCAATGTAAATCTTAAGGGCGAGTGATAGATGGAATCAAGCTTCTTCAGTACAGTACTTGGGGCTGATTTATACACGATGTCACAGTAGTCAAGTAGAGGCAGTATGGTAGCTTTTATCAATTCCAAACGGAACATTGGGGGGAAGAAGTGCTTGTATCGATACAGAAAACCAATTTTTAGTTTTGTCCTTTTACCAATGTAATCAATGTGATCTTCAAAATTCAGTTTTGAATCTAGGATGACCCCAAGATACTTATAGATCTTGACTTGCTCTATTTGGTAATTACAGTGAGGGAAAAAAATATTATATCCCCTGCTGATTTTGTACGTTTGCCCACTGACAAAGAAATGATCAGTCTATAATTTAATGGTAGATTTATTTGAACAGTGAGAGACAGAATAACAACAAAAAAATCAAGAAAAACGCATGTCAAAAATGTTATAAATTAATTTTCATTTTAATGAGGGAAATAAGTATTTGACCCCTCTGCAAAACATGACTTAGTACTTGGTGGCAAAACCCTTGTTGGCAATCACAGAGGTCAGACGTTTCTTGTAGTTGGCCACCAGGTTTGCACACATCTCAGGAGGGATTTTGTCCCACTCCTCTTTGCAGATCTTCTCCAAGTCATTAAGGTTTCGAGGCTGACGTTTGGCAACTCGAACCTTCAGCTCCCTCCACAGATTTTCTATGGGATTAAGGTCTGGAGACTGGCTAGGCCACTCCAGGACCTTAATGTGCTTCTTCTTGAGCCACTCCTTTGTTGCCTTGGCCGTGTGTTTTGGGTCATTGTCATGCTGGAATACCCATCCACGACCCATTTTCAATACCCTGGCTGAGGGAAGGAGGTTCTCACCCAAGATTTGACGGTACATGTCCCCGTTCATCGTCCCTTTGATGCAGTGAAGTTGTCGTGTCCCCTTAGCAGAAAAAACACCCCCAGAGCATAATGTTTCCACCTCCAAGTTTGACGGTGGGGATGGTGTTCTTGGGGTCATAGGCAGCATTCCTCCTCCTCCAAACACGGCAAGTTGAGTTTATGCCAAAGAGCTCCATTTTGGTCTCATCTGACCACAACACTTTCACCCAGTTGTCCTCTGAATCATTCAGATGTTCATTTCGTGAGCAGGGGGACCTTGCGGGCAATGCAGGATTTCAGTCTTTCACGGCGTAGTGTGTTACCAATTGTTTTCTTGGTGACTATGGTTCCAGCTGCCTTGAGATCATTGACAAGATCCTCCCGTGTGGTTCTGGGCTGATTCCTCACCGTTCTCATGATCATTGCAACTCCACGAGGTGAGATCTTGCATGGAACCCCAGGCCGAGGGAGATTGACAGTTCTTTTGTGTTTCATCCATTTGCGAATAATCGCACCAACTGTTGTCACCTTCTCGCCAAGCTGCTTGGCAATGGTCTTGTAGCCCATTCCAGCCTTGTGTAGGTCTACAATGTTGTCCCTTACATCCTTGGAGAGCTATTTGGTCTTGGCCATGGTGGAGAGTTTGGAATCTGATTGATTGCTTCTGTGGACAGGTGTCTTTTATACAGGTAACAAGCTGAGATTAGGAGCACTCCCTTTAAGAGTATGCTCCTAATCTAAGCTCGTTACCTGTATAAAAGACACCTGGGAACCAGAAATCTTTCTGATTGAGAGGGGGTCAAATACTTATTTCCCTCATTAAAATGCAAATCAATTTATAACATTTTTGACATGCGTTTTTCTGGATGTTGTTGTTATTCTGTCTCTCACTGTTCAAATAAACCTACCATTACAATTATAGACTGATGATTTCTTTGTCAGTGGGCAAACGTACAAAATCAGCAGGGGATCAAATACTTTTTTCCCTCACTGTATTTAAGGAATGTAATTGGGGAAAAATAACTTCCTGCTTTAGTCCTGGTGAGAAGCATAGCACCTTGGTTTTGGAGGTATTCAGGACTAGTTTAAGAGCAACCGGCTGATGTTGTAGTTTGTTGAAATCACTCTGTAGCTTAGCAATCACGTCATCCGGAGAGCGGCCAGCAGTAATCAGTATCGTGTCATCTGCAAAAAGATTTACCCTGGAATGATCCAGGTCAGTGCCCAAGTCATTGACATGAAGAGAGAACAAAAGGGGGCCGAGGATGGAACCCTGTGGAACCCCTTTTGTTATAATAACACTGTTTGACCTCCAACC